CTCTATGAAGGAATTCGTTGGCTCAGGATCCGACTGTAGATGCTATATTCACGTTTTGGCATTGCTGGAGAATCTGCTCTCCTTCGTAACAAAGTAACACAGTAATTGAGGATGAATCCAAACACAGCTCTATCAAACCCAACCTTTCACAAATCCCCTGTGTGTTATGGATGATCCTCAACACAGGGAAAAACAAACAAACATGTTCCGACTGTATTCTGAAAGAAAGGCCACAATGACACTGGGGAGGGGATGGGTGGGTAATATTAGGGGGACATGTCCCGTGCGTTTAACAAATATGTATATGTGAGGAATGAAGAATTAAACTAAATGTAGCAATTCACACGGCTGGATTTAGCTCTTTCCTGGAAATTATAAAGTTATAGGTGATTGTCAGTGTTTTATTCAATGAATTAATTTCTCCATTAAAGATTACAGCTTCTCAGCATTCTATTACAACAACTGTCACCACCACGTTCCTTAAAGAAACGATTTATTGAATAGTCTACCACTTCTAATAGTCCTGCTCTGTACATTACTATAAAATTGTTTCACTAACTCTATCAACCTCTAGACAAAGTCTAGTTCATTATAATCTCGAATAATGTAACAATAAGTTACAAAGTGCATTAATGCGCACACTTCCTAGGATGTTACCATTGCAACTGCAGCTAGAGTCTTTCCAGTGTAGTCAGAGAATTGCAGGCTTTCAGGGGGCATGGGAAAGGGATGATCCACCACAGGAGGGTCAACTTGATACTATTTAATACATACACTGATCAACCACAGCATTAAAGGACCACTATAGTGCCAGGAAAACATAATCGTTTGCCTGGCACTATAGGGTCTCTAGGTCCCCCCCCACCCTCAGGGCCCCCCTCCCACCGGGGTCTAGGTAGGGTGAGGAAGGGGTTAAACACATACCTTTTCTCCACCGCCGGGTTCCCATCATCGGCTGAATGCGCATGCGTGGCACGAGCCGCGCACGCATTCAGCCAGTCTCAATGCTTTCCTATGGATGCTGGCGTCTTCTCACTGTGAAAATCACTACTAGAGGCTGGATTAACCCATAGGTAAACATAGCAGTTTCTCCGGCAGTTTCTCCGGTCCGGCGGCACTCCAGTCACTGGCTGCTGATGGCTGATGGAGGAGCCACTATGCTCCCTTGCGGTGGAACCGCGAGGGAGCATGGTACACAGGCTCCTGCTCCATCAGCAGCCAGTGACTGGAGTGCCGCCGGACCGGCGAAGCTGCCACCCGGCCCGGCGGCTCCAGTCTGGAACTCGGCCGGCTCCCTTGCCTTCTTTAAGGTAAATTGGGGGGGAGGGGGGAGAGACAGAGGGAAAGGGGGGAGGGAGGAGAAGGGAGAGACACAGGAAAAGGGGAGGAAGGAGAGACACAGGAAAGGGGGAGGGAGAAGGAGACACAGGAAAGGGGTGGAAGGGAGAGACACAGGAAAGGGGGAGGGAGGGAGGGAGGGAGGAGAAGGGAGAAGATTACTATGGAAAGTGTGGAGGGAGAAGGGAGAGACACAGGGAAAGGGGGGAGGGAGAGAGATGGGGAGAGGGGAGAGACACAGGGAAAGGGAGGGAGAAGGAGAGACACAGGAAAGGGGGTGGAGGGAGAAGGAGAGACACAGGAAATGGGGGGTGGAGGAGAAGGAGAGACACAGGAAGGGGAGAGATGGTTGGAGGGAGAGAGACACAGGGAAAGGGGGGAGGAAGGGAGAGGGGAGAGACACAGGGAAAGGGGGGGAGAGATGGGTTGGAAGGAGAGAGATGGGGAGAGGGGAGAGACATGGGTTGGAGGGAGAGACACAGGGAAAGAGGGGAGGAAGAGAGATGGGGAGGAGGGAGAGACACAGGGAAAGAGGGTGAAAGAGGAAGAGGGGGAAGAGAGAGACAAAGAGGGAGAAATGAGAGAGACACACAAGGGGAGGGGAAGAAAGAGGCAGAGGGGGAAGAGAGAGACTGGGAAGGAGAGGGGAGACATTGACACAGAGGAGCAGTGAGGGGGAGAAAGAGAGGACCCGGGGCAACGTTCCGGCTCTCACGAGGGTGAACTCTAGCCCTGGTGCTAGAGTTCACTCTCACCACTTCCTGGTGGTCGCAGTAGTAGGAGTGAACTCTAGCCCCATACACACACTGCCCACACGCACACACACCATACACATTCACACACTGCCCCCACACAAACACCATACACATTCACACACTGCCCCCACACACACCATACACATTCACACACTGTCCCCACACACACACACACACCATACACATTCACACACTGTCCCCACACACACACACCATACACATTCACACACTCCCCCCCCCACACACACACACCATACACATTCACACACTGTCCCCCACACCCACACACTGAACCTTTCACACACATTGCACCACTGCTCCTATACCCTACTACAGCCCCATATCCCAGCAGACTCCAGGTAAGTTGTCAAACTGTTCTTAAACGGTTTGACTACTTACTCTGGGAGGGGGTGCTGACACTCCTGGCACCATAACCACTACACAGAGGAGTAGTGGTTATTGTGCATGGAGTATTTCTTTAAATAATCTACAAGTGCCAGGCTCAGGTTCTGGATCCGTCACTCATATATGACATGTATATTAATGTGTGTATATTAGTTATATATATATATTATATTTACACATATTAATGTGCATTTATATATGCATAATACACAGAGAAATTGCATTAATATGTACCATATGTAATGAGCAGATATTGGCCCAATCTTGTTGCTAGGTGCATACTCCAGCACAATAACATATTTAAAGTGAAGAGCACACCCACAGGACTTCAAAGTAAACATTTTTTACAGTTGTGCCCTAAATACATTCACCATTTCAGTCACATTAACAAGCTTTCCTTAAAGGACCACTCTAGGCACCCAGACCACTTCAGCTTAATGAAGTGGTCTGGGTGCCAGGTCCAGCTAGGGTTAACCCATTTTTTCATAAACATAGCAGTTTCTGAGAAACTGCTATGTTTATGAATGGGTTAAGCCTTCCCCTATTTCCTCTAGCGGCTGTCTCATTGACAGCCGCTAGAGGCGCTTGCGTGCTTTTCACTGTGATTTTCACAGTGAGAGCACGCCAGCGTCCATAGGAAAGCATTATGAATGCTTTCCTATGTGACCGGCTGAATGCGTGCACAGCTCTTGCCGCGCGTGCGCATACAGCCGACGGGAGGAGAAGAGGAGGATCGGAGGAGGAGAGCTCTCCGCCCAGCGGTGGAAAAAGGTAAGTTTTACCCCTTTCCAGAGCCGGGCGGGAGGGGGTCCCTGAGGGTGGGGGCACCCTCAGGGCACTATAGTGCCAGGAAAACGAGTATGTTTTCCTGGCACTATAGTGGTCCTTTAATATGTCAAGATAGTTGGACTGAAACATTGATTACATGCAAAGGCACATCTGCTTAAAATAAATCTGCACTTTTGTTTATTTTGAAGCCTATGAGTGCGCTTTTTACGTTGAAGTACTTTTTAATTTTAAGTTATCTGTTTTAACTCTGTATCTGCACACTATGCTGGCGCGATGCATTATGGGGCTGGTAAATATTTTTTTTCCAGGGCTGCTTTTAATTCCCAGTCCGGCCCTGGTCCAAGGTAACCCTGACAAATCCCCCCTCCCCACCCCCACTTCCTTCAAGAACAGGGTCTTTACAGTTAGCAGGCAAGCGGTGCCTGGTAAACCATAGGTAAGTTGTCAAACTGTTCGCATATGGTTTGACTGCAATATTCTGTGCAGCTGGGTATATGTGATATGAATGTTTACATGTGTGTAACATGTATGTGTTTTATCACAGCTTTACAACCGAATAGAAAAAGTTAAACTTTTAAACAGGTACAAAAAAAAAATACAGTGTCTATTTCTATAATCGTCTGTCGAAACTTGTCCTCTGTCAGCTTTCCTTAGGGTATTTCTTTGTAAAAACCAACTGATTGCATTCCTCAATTTATTCCTAACTCGCCTCAATGCAAATGGTAAAAAAAAGCTTAAGAAAAGCTTTCAGTTTAACTTTTTGTTTCTTTGCAGGAAATGGCGTCTGCTGATATGAGAGGCGAGCTGACCTGCTCCATCTGCCTAAACATTTACACAGATCCTGTAACGCTTCAATGTGGCCACAACTTCTGCCAGGCTTGTATTAGGAATGTCCTGGATTCCCAGGTAACATCTGGAGTTTATACCTGTCCGGACTGCAGATCAGAATTCAAAGAGTGCCCAACCTTGCAAAGGAACACAACTCTGTGTAACATTGGTAAGAGTTTTCTTTCAACTCATCCAGAGCAAGATACATCTGCAATTCTCTGTACTAATTGCCTTCACGTCCCAGTGCCAGCTGTTAAGACATGTCTGCTATGTGAAGCTGCATTGTGCTCTAATCATGTGAAGGTCCACACCAAGTCCCCAGAACATGTTTTAATTGAACCTAGCATTTCCTTAGAAACTTGGAAATGTGCTGTACACAATGAGATCTTGAAGTTTTACTGCACAGTGGATGCTGCCTGTGTCTGTGTGTCCTGTATCCTGTTTGGAGCTCACATTGGACACCAAATTGAACCATTGAGTAAGGCTTCAGACAAGAAGAAAGAAGACCTAAAAACTATTATGCAAACTCTAACCTCGAGGACAGAGAAGATTGATACAAGAGTTAAGAAACTAAATGAGTATAAGGAAAAAACCCAAGAAAAAGCAACTAGTGTGACAGAACGAGTAGCTGCCATAATTAGGGACATCAAAAAACAGCTGGATGACCTACAGAATCAAGTTTTTTGTGAGATCTATGGGCAGAATGAAGTGGCTTCTGCACAAATCGCTGCCTTAATCCATGAGCTGGACACAGAGAAGGAGGCTTTGTCCAAGAAAATGTGTCATATTGAAGAACTGTGTAACATGACTAACCCACTGTGTTTTTTACGAGAATGGTCTTCTAGTAGTCCTGAGTTTTGTGATATTGTGAAGGGTACAGTGGGAGATACAAATGTCCCCAATGTCATGAACTTGGATGAAGATAAGGTTTTGATGTTGGTACAAACAGGTATAGATGAAATTGTGACTGAGGTGAAAATGAAGCTTGATGTCAATGAATCATCAGAAGTGCTTCTGGATGTAACCACCGCTGGAAATAATGTAGCTTTATCCCATGATGATGAAATTGTCACTGGGACGTGCGCGCTCCCCAGAGTCGAGAGCAGGAGCGCAGTGACGGTGAAGTGGGGAGGAGGTGGTGGTGAACCGGTACCGCCACAGCCGCAGCGACCAGCATGTACTCCGTCCCCAGGACCGGCACTGGAGCCTCCCACCAACCCGGACCGCGAGACCCAGAAGGCCGAGCTGAGGGAGATGCTGAAAGCCCCGCAGAAGAAGGGAGATGAGTTGTATGTCATTGACAGTCGGTGGTTTAAGCAATGGAAGAAGTATGTTGGTTACGACTCCTGGGATATGTACAATGTGGGAGAGTGCAATCCGGGACCTGTTAACAACTCAGGTCTTTTTTCAGATGCTGATACTCTGGCATTAAAGGAACATCTGATTGATGAGCTGGACTATGTTCTGGTGCCAAATGAAGCATGGCTGAAACTGATGAGTTGGTATGGCAGTGTAGAAGGACAGCAGCCCATTGTTAGAAAGGTGGTTGAGTTTGGCATGTTTGTAAAACAATGTAAAGTTGAGGTATACCTCATTGAGCTGAAGCTCTGTAACGAGAGTAACCCAGATACCCTGATTCCACGGCACTTCAGCAAAGCAGACACTATAGAAACTATAGAAAAAGAAATGAGAAATATATTTAGAATTCCGGTGGGGAAGGAGACCAGGCTATGGAAAAGATATATGAAAAATACGTATGAGCAGCTCACCAAACCAGAGGACACTGTGGAGGATGCAGGACTTTATCAGGGCGAGGTTGTGGTAATAGAACAGAGGAATGCAGATGGCACATGGCCCAGGCAATCAAATTCCCAGAAGTCACATCTAAAATCTTTAATGAAAACGATGAATGGAGGTCAAAGAAACCACAAAAATACAAACTGAGCCAAAACACCCCAGATTTTGCGAATCACATTAGTGGTATAGTAGGATTATTTGAATAAAGAAACATTGCTAGCACCCATAGCCCAGCTAAAATAAAGTCATATATCATCATATCACTTGTATTAATTAATCTCAGCTTTGTGTCTGAACATTTCTCTTTATACTTTTCAAGATGGAAGAATGGATGCAAAAATAGGAAAAAAATGGTGGTCAATATTTTTTTTCTGTGAATGGTGGGACAAAAAAGCTTGCAAGGCCAGTACAGCTATTGCAGCCAGACAGGAAAACGTTGTTAAAACATATGCATGGCATTTTGATGTAACTACATTGTGGGGATATTTATGGGATAATAATAGTAAACAGTTGAGAATTGTGGTTATCTTCCAGATCGCAAATTAGTTATTTGGTCTATAGAGGGCAGTCTTGTCCCACTAAACATACCTATCCAGGAAAGAGTTAACTTTTCCTGGTGGCTATTTTGACGTCATTTTGGCCTATCTTTATGGTGGTCATAATTCAGATTTCAAAGGGTTTCTTAAAGTTTTGTCCAGACTTAGCGTCTGCAATTCCTGCCATAATTTCTGATATGACAGATCATGAACTAAGTTTACCCTTTTCCATACAATGGTACCTTATATATATAGACAGTTAAATATTAAATTATTTAATCTTCTCTGTCACAATTGTCTGGGTTTAGATTTGATTATATTCTTCTTATCACTTGTTTATACTATGCTATGCATTCCTTAGCTCTGGCAAAGAGGCCAGTCTTACAGAAAGAATTTTGTGTCTTTTTGTTAACTTGGAATAACAAAATGGAGTCTGCTCTGTTCAGAGTGACTCAGAATATACACTTTTAGTTTCTATCATAGCACAAAATGTCTGCCGATATAAATACTCTGACAACATATTTTTATGTTAAAGAGATGAGGTATTTATATCCAGTACTAAGCGAGACTGTCGGTTGTGATCAATACGTATGTCGGACTTGTTTGTTAGAATTCAGTGAGTATGCACAGTAAACAACTTAGAAACATAGATTGATATCAAAAGAGAACAAATGTAATAAAATAATAAAACTGGCTTAAACATAAAATAAAAAGGAATTTGTCGCTGCGTTGAACATTAAGAAAGTGCTTCTGGATGTAACCACCGCTGGGAATAATGTAGCTTTATCCCATGACTTGAAAACTGTCATCGACATAAAAAAGACCAGATGAGCCCAGCTATACGTAACAGATTTGCTATTGTCAAGTTTTAAGTGTCCAAAGTTTGCCATCTGGTCAGCATTGCTGGGAAGTGGACACCAGTGAATCAGAGTATTGGAGGACAGGCATTGTCTATCCCAGCATGGACAGCAAGGTAGACTAGTCCTACATTGGGTATAATTAGAAGTCCTGGTGTTTGAAAAGGTTGGGTAAAGAGTTTGTAGTAATTCATGATGGCCAAGTTATTGTGATACCACATTCTATTCTCAGATTTAAAATGGCCTTGAACTACAAGTGTGGGCATCTTTCGTTTTACGAGCTGAGTGACCCGATTACACACTTGCATACTTTCAATACCAACTTCACTGAACAACGTAATGCTGCATTGTTTGTATGGGAAGGAAAGCTGAGAATTGTGCTCTAGAAGGGATCTGTGATATAATATTGGTTAAAGGGATACCCCGGACTCCTAATGTACTTCTGCTTACTGAAATGATTTATGTCTGAAGAGTGTGTCCTCTCTTTTTCATTTTTCAAAAATGTATTTGAAATTGGCACATTTATAAATCAACCTTTTTACACGCCATGGCTTTCAATCAGATAACCAGCTCTGTTACTTATTCTTTGTTTTTGTATTTTAACTCAGTGGAGCAAAACCCGGAGCACCTGCCTTGCAGAAACTTCTTATTGAGCTGCATTGGGAAGTCTGTGATTGGACAACCACAGAAAGTTTGGATGGGGTTAAAAGGGGAGGGCTTCCAAAAGCTTCAAACAAGAGATCTGCAGCTTTTGCTTGTTAATGTTTTTAGATATAACCACAATGAAAAAATACATAATTAAATGCAAGCATGTTTTCATTTGGGGTATATCTACCAACTAGTGATCTTTATTTTTTTTTTGGTATATGGGCAGTGTAGTATTCCTTTAAGAATCAGATGATAGAATTTCACTTTCTACATGTGATAAACAGAGAGGTTGATTTAAAGTCTTAATTAATGAGTCTTGACTTACCAAAATTTCATGTTTGGTTGTCAAAAAGTGCTAATTATTTGCACGGCTTTATTAAACTATCTGTGAATCTGGTGTAAAATACATTTTATTCTAAAATATTCTTACAGTAATCTTCTAAAATAATTTTTTTACTTTCCCATCACGAGAAGAAATTTTTAATGCAGAGAATAAAGATATTGACTAAGATGGTCTTAGCAGCTCGTTGATCTCAAGTAGTCCATTGGTTGATGGAGAATCCTCTCCTCTTGCCAAAGTGAAAGTTGACTTACTGTCAGGAAGACTTACTGATGGATAAATGAACAACTATGATCCACCACACTATGCCTTCTCTTTGGGATTCCAAGTTATCGAGTTCACCTTAATTTTGTGGCCCCTCACAAGATGATTGTCTTAAATGATCAAATGCTAAGATTGCTTTGTGATTGGAATGTTTAACCACAATCAGAATGTAAGATGGTGGAGTAAGAATTAACCTTAAAATACTGTGAGATTTTATGATTGGGTACAACTTTGAGTCTGTATTGAAAATGAAAATTACTATTTCTTTGTATGTTGATAACAAAACACAAAAGGGCTAAAATATTCTAAATATATAGTATGATTAAGACTTGTAAATTTGTGAAATGTGCTTTGAGAATTATTGTTAATAAAAGTTTCTAAATTTGAGATATTTTATTCCTGACCTTATAGTGTTTAACCCACCATTTAGGTGGCTTCCCCCCTCTCCCCCACCCTTAACCCCCTTGGAAAAGGTGAAAATTCACCTTAAGTCCAGCGCCGCCTCCTTGGTGACATCATCGGAATTGATTATTTTTAGCAAATCCAATGCTTTCCCATAGGGAGAGCATTGGATTGGCTGATATCGGCAAGGAGGTGGGGAGGGGCCAACGCTGTTTTTAGACAATCAGCACATCCTCATAGAGATGCATTGAATCAATGCATCTCTATGAGGAAAATTCAACATCCCCATGTAGAGCGTGGAGACACTGAACGGCAGTTCTGCCTACTGTGCGGCACTGAGCCAGGAAGCACCTCCAGTGGCCATCTGAGGGGTGACCCTAGGGGCAATGTAAGCACTGCCATTTCTCAGAAAAGGTAGAGTTTGCATGAAAATGCCTGAAGGCAATGATTATACACACCAGAACAACTAAATTAAGCTGTAGTTATTCTGGTGACTATAGTGTCCCTTTAAGTTAAATTAAATCAGTTATTGAGTCAATGTATGTGTGTTGGAGTTAGTATTGCTTCCTAGGTTGACTGGTGAAGCAGGTTATATATGCATGTGAGTAGCTGGTTATGTGTCTCAAATTACCGCTTAGTTTGTGTAAACAAGGGGGGCAGCAACATTGTCATTCAATGGCCCGCAATTGGTAAGGGCAGCCTTGTTATGGTAGAAAGATGCAAGGTGTGAGGTTTATATTATAGTTTTGATAATCTGGACACCAAATACATCAGTTTAGATGGCACAGAGTTAATAAAACTGAGAACTGCCATTCCGGTTAGAATTTTGGGACTGGGTAGTCGTTATAGAGACTGAGATAAGACACAACATGGACAATGCCCAACACAAATTAAAAAGGTAAAGACAAATAATTATGTCTGTCTCATTTATCATTGTAATAGTCAAGCACAGGATCCGCCCCGGGTGCCAAATGCTCTAGGTACGCCCCTGAGTATGGCTTTTCCTGCCCAAAGCAGTTCCCACAACTTCCTGCTGGAGAACAATGGAGCTGGGGGAGGGGAAGAGGCACACCTTCCCATGAATTCAAAGGGGCAGAAAAAGTGTCTCAAAAGTTTCAGTATGTCCATACACTGTTTTTAAAGGGCCAACACCGTACAATAAAAGTCCATAAGCCCAAATAATGTTTGTAAAGGGCCATACAACCCAGGGCCATAGTCATGAGGCAGGAGGCTGGCACTCAGGCTCCTCCAATAGCCAGGGGCAAAGGGCAACTTGTCACCTAAAAATCTAGTGACAAAAGGCATTTCGTCACACCGTCCTGTAAAGAAGACTGCAAGAGCACAGCGCAGGCTGCTCAATGAGGTGAAGAAGAATCATAGAGTGTCCGCTAAAGACTTACAAAAGTCACTGGCAAATGCTAACATCCCTGTTAGCGAATCTACAATATGTAAAACACTAAACAAGATGTCATATTCCAGCCCCGGTCTCATTAAGCGGCGCGCTGGGGAGGGGTAGCAGAGACAGAACAGCCAGCTCCTCCGTGCGGCCGCCAGAACAGCCAGCTCCGCCTGCGGCCGCCAAAGGAGCTCCCCCATGCGGCCGCCATAAGAGCTCCCCACAGGTAGACATTGTGTGTGTCAATGTGAGTGTGTGTGTGTGTGTCTGTGTCATGGTGTGTGTGTCTCTGAATTTCATGGTGTGTGCGTCTGTCTGTGTCATGCAATGTGTGTCTGTGTCATGATGTGTGTGTGTCTGTGTCACGATCTCTCTGTGTCATGGTGTGTGTGTGTTATGGTGTGTCTGTCTGTGTCATGTGTGTCTGTGTCACGGTCTGTTATGGTGTGTGTGTCTGTCATGGTATGTATGTGTGTCTGTCTGTGTCACGGTGTGTGTGTGTCTGTGTCATGGTGTGTGTGTGTGTGTTTTTACTCACCTTTCCCCCCCTCCCCCCACGCAGCGTGCTGGTCTCCCCTCGACTGGCCCTGCCTCTATGGCTGAGATCATCAAGCTTGATGATCTCAGCCAATCCGCACTGACACAGGAAGCACCTCTAGTGTCTGTCACTAGGAAGCAATGTAAACACTGCCTTTTCTCTAAAAAGTCAATGTTTACATTGAAAAGCCTGCAGGGACAGGCTATAGACACCAGAGCCACTACATAAGCTGTGTGTGTGTGCGCGCCTGCTAGTGAGTGGGCTTGCTTTTGTGTGTGTGTGTGTGTGCTACTGAGTGAGCTTGTGTTTTTATTTTAATGACCTTATGTATATCAGTGAGATTGTTTGTTTGTTTGTCTATGAGGCTGTGTATCAATCAGCTTGTGTCAGTGAGATTGTCTGTGTCTGCATGTGAGTATGCTTACTGTATAATTAAACATTTTACTCTGAAAGGACCAATATTTTATATTGGAAAAAGATATATCTCAATCATCTAGGGTGGCAAGACATATTACATGCGACAATATATGGCGCAGTGACTTATGGGGCTGGCATAGATTTTTATTCAAGGGCTGCTTTGGAATCCCCAGTCCGGCCCTGCTTGAGCCGGTAGGCAGATAATGTTCGCCTCATTCGTGGGGATAATTCCATCGAACAGTGTTCTCCCAGGATGCATAGAAACTAACACAGGCGGGGATGGAAGTTTAGCGGTGTTCGCGAGGTCAAGTGTACGATTTTAGTTCCATGCACTCGACGACCAAACACCGCTACCTGTGTTCACGGGAACAAGATGGCCGCCACCACGTGTTCGTACATATGAACTGAGTTAACCCAGCCGACCGTTTAGAGCACTGAGGTGTGAATCATTATTGAAGTGATACTAGGGGTGAACGAGCTTAACCAGCATACGGGTGGTCTGGTTATTTTGGGGTTTTGTTCGGTTACAGAACAAAATAGTGAAAAAATAATTTTACCGAACAACCAGGGAACAAAACTAAAATACAGTATTCCAGCGACAGGGTGGTAGGTCACAAGCTATTTTTACAAGCATCCATTCCGCCACTGCTGGTTTGCTCCCACATTCTGACAGTAATGCACCGGACTCCTCTTCCTGTGTTCCCGGAAGATCATGCATTGCGCTAAGCACGGGAATGCAGCACTTAGTCATTGGCTGAGAGCACTAATCTGAGATTCTCAGCCAAAGAACTGGCCCTGGCTAAGCCCAGTGAAGCTAACAAAAGCTACTTGCAGGAGGAGGCAAGCGGCATCCAGCAATCCACAAGTAAATTGTCAAACTATTTGTTTATCATTTGACTACTTACCCTGGTGTTTTCATTTACCTATAAAAGTGACCGCTGAGTGTATGTTCCTTTATTTTGTTCTTTTTTTTATTTTTTATTATTGCATGCATCTGTATCTTGCACGCCCTCTGGGTTTTACAGGTTTGTCATTTAAGTTCTAAGATATTTGTTTCATTTTCATCCCAAAAACCGCTGAAAAAACATCTTGATAAACGTGCAGGTTCCAAAATAATGTTAGTCCAATAATATGCTATTACAAGATACTGCAATATTCTGTACAGCTGGGTATATGTGATATGAATGTTTACATGTGTGTAACATGTATGTGTTTTATCACAGATTTACAACCGAATAGAAAAAGTTAAACAAAGTGTCTATTTCTATACTCGTCTGTCGAAACTTGTCCTCTGTCAGCTTTCCTTAGGGTATTTCTTTGTAAAAACCAACTGATTGCATTCCTCAATTTATTCCTAACTCGCCTTAATGCAAATGGTAAAAAAAAGCTTAAGAAAAGCTTTCAGTTTCACTTTTTGTTTCTTTGCAGGAAATGGCGTCTGCTGATATGAGAGACGAGCTGACCTGCTCCATCTGCCTAAACATTTACACAGATCCTGTAACGCTTCAATGTGGCCACAACTTCTGCCAGGCTTGTATTAGGAATGTCCTGGAATCCCAGGTAACATCTGGAGTTTATACCTGTCCGGACTGCAGATCAGAATTCGAAGAGCGCCCAACCTTGCAAAGGAACACAACGCTGTGTAACATTGCTAAGAGTTTTCTTTCAACTCATCCAGAGCAAGATACGTCTGCAATTCTCTGTACTAATTGCTTTCACGCCCCAGTGCCAGCTGTTAAGACATGTCTGCTTTGTGAAGTTGCTTTGTGCTCTAATCATGTGAAGGTCCACACCAAGTCCCCAGAGCATGTTTTTATTGAACCTAGCATTTCCTTAGAAAACTGTAAATGTGCTGTACACAATGAGATCTTGAAGTTTTACTGCACAGTAGATCATGCCTGTGTCTGTGTGTCCTGTAGCCTGTTTGGAGCTCACATTGGACACCAAATCAAACCATTGAGTAAGGCTTCAGACAAGAAGAAAGAAGACCTAAAAACTATTATGCAAACTCTAACCTCGAGGACAGAGAAGATTGATACAAGAGTTAAGAAACTAAATGAGTATAAGGAAAAAACCCAAGAAAAAGCAACTAGTGTGACAGAACGAGTAGCTGCCATAATTAGGGACATCAAAAAACAGCTGGATGACCTACAGAATCAAGTTTTTTGTGAGATCTATGGGCAGAACGAAGTGGCTTCTGCACAAATCGCTGCCTTAATCCATGAGCTGGACACAGAGAAGGAGGCTTTGTCCAAGAAAATGTGTCATATTGAAGAACTGTGTAACATGACTGACCCATGGTGTTTTTTACGAGAATGGTCTTCTAGTAGTCCTGAGCTTTGTGATATTATGAAGGGTACAGTGGGATATACAAAAGTCCCCAATGTCATGAACTTGGATGAAGGTAAGGTATGGATGTTAGTACAAACAGGTATAGATGAAATTGTGACTGAGGTGAAAATGAAGCTTGATGTCAATGAGTCATCAGAAGTGCTTCTGGATGTAACCACCGCTGGAAATAATGTAGCTTTATCCCATGATGATGAAATTGTCACTGGGACGTGCGTGCTCCCCAGAGTCGAGAGCAGGAGCGCAGTGATGGCGAAGTGGGGAGGAGGTGGTGGTGAACCGGGAACGCCACAGCCGCAGCGACCAGCATGTACTCCGTCCCCAGGACTGGCACTGGAGCCTCCCACCAACCCGGACCCCGAGACCCAGAAGGCCGAGCTGATGGAGATGCTGAAAGCCCCGCTGAAGAAGGGAGATGAGTGGTATCTCATTGACAGTCAGTGGTTTAAGCAATGGAAGAAGTATGTTGGTTACGACTCCTGGGATATGTGCAATGTGGGAGAGTGCAATCCGGGACCTGTTGACAACTCAGGTCTTTTTTCAGATGCTGGTACTCCGGCATTAAAGGAACATCTGATTGATGAGCTGCACTATGTTCTGGTGCCAACTGAAGCATGGCTGAAACTGATGAGTTGGTATGGCAGTGTAGAAGGACAGCAGCCCATTGTTAGAAAGGTGGTTGAGTTTGGCAAGTTTGTAAAACAATGTAAAGTTGAAGTATACCTCATTGAGCTGAAGCTCTGTAACGAGAGTAACCCAGATACCCTGATTCCACGGCACTTCAGCAAAGCAGACACTATAGAAACTATAGAAAAAGAAATGAGAAATATATTTAGTATTCCGGTGGGGAAGGAGACCAGGCTATGGAACAGATATATGACAAATCCGTATGAGCAGCTCACCAGACCAGAGGACACTGTGCAGGGTGCAGGACTTTATCAGGGCCAGGTTCTGGTAATAGAACAGAGGAATGCAGATGGCACATGGCTAGGGTTGCCACATGGCTAGGGTTGCCACCTGGCTGTGTATTACTGGCACAGCCAGGGTTTGATGTTCGGTATTTGATTTTCTGTGGCCGGTGCCGGTATTGCAAAAACACAGACATTACAATTGCCAATATTTTTCTGGCAGGAGAAATTTCTGTAATATCTGCACCGGCCACCAGGGTGTGCCCAGGGTGTGCAGTGCTCTCAGGCCAAGCAAGGAAGATTTGTTGGTGCTAGAGCTGTGTGGTGAGGGATGAGATGGGGTGTCACAGCTTGTCCCTGCCCTCTCCGATAATAGAGTCCGCATGGGAGGAGCTACAGGACAAGGGGAAGTATGGCAGCAGGAACTGAGTCCTCAGAGCAGGTACACATATGTATTCAGCAGTCTGTGTGATGTGTGTGTGTGTGTATTCAGCAGTCTGTGTGATGTGTGTGTGTGTGTGTATTCTGCAGTCTGTGTGATGTGTGTGTGTATTCAGCAGTCTGTGTGATGTGTGTGTGTGTATTTAGCAGTATTTGTGTGTGTGTGTGTGTGTATTCGGCAGTCTGTGTGATGTGTGTGTGTGTATTTAGCAGTATTTGTGTGTGTGTGTATTCAGCAGTCTGTGTGATGTGTGTGTGTGTGTATTTAGCAGTATTTGTGTGTGTGTGTATTCTGCAGTCTGTGTGATGTGTGTGTGTGTGTTGCTTGGTGTTGTGTGTGTGTGTGTGTTCATGCGGTCTTTGTGTGTTGTTGTGTGTTCGGCGGTGTGGTGTGTGTGTGTGTTGTGATTGTGTGTGTGTGTGTGTGTGTGTTCTGCGGTCTGTGTGTGTGTGTGTGTGTGTGTTCTGCGGTCTGTGTGTGTGTGTATTCTGCAGTCTGTGTGATGTGTGTGTGTGTATGTGTGTGTGTGTATTCAGCAGTCTCTGTGATGTGTGTGTATGTGTGTGTGTGTGTGTGTGTGTGTGTATTCAGCAGTCTCTGTGATGTGTGTATGTGTGTGTGTGTGTGTATTCAGCAGTCTCTGTGATGTGTGTGTGTGTGTGTATTCAGCAGTCTTTGTGTGTATTTAGCAGTGTGTATGTGTGTTTTTATCGGCGTGTGTATGTATTCAGCAGTCAGATGGGAGAATGGTGAGAGAAATAGAACCAGAAGATTCATCTGTTATAAACGGACACGCATTGTTATATACTATATACACAATAACATACACAGACATAGTAGACACACACTCACAGTATACAGACAACAATATGCACACATTGCTATACACACACACACACACAATGCTACACACACACACACATTATGCTATACACACAGTCAGACAGAACACACACATTGTAAGTAGTTTATTAGTGATTTAGGGAATTTTCTCCTTCCAAATGTTCTCATTCTCTTAAATACATTGTGTCCTGCGATGTCACGTATATTTAATAATTTATGCAAATTAGCATGGCCGGTATTTTTTTCCAAAAAAAGGTGGCAACCGTATACATGGCCCAGGAAATCACAGTTAAATTCCCAGAAGTCACATCTTAAAACTTACTAAAACCTTTCATGAAAGATTTTAGATTTTACATTAGTGGTATAGTAGGATGATTTGGATAAAGTAACATTACTAGCACCCACAACTCAGCTAAAACAAAGTCATACAATATATAGAGTGCAATCAATAAGTAAAAAACAATATAGTAAATAATAAACAGTATCATATTAATAAAAGCAGCTGGAAACTTCCTAACAATTTCAGCACATACAATGTACTAATAATCGTGTTAGCGCTATATAGGAGGTGCCCACAATTGTATGCTGGGCGCTCCTAAAGTGATCTTAAGGAAGAAAAATAACAACCACTTATTGCATTAAAATATCAATTTGTTATAAGAAACCTAAATAGTATCCACAATTGATTTTTGGCAATATATATATTCTTCCTCAAAAGAATGTGTAATAATGTCCCAGAGTCCTTTGGTGTTGGAGTGGTTGATCTTGCCACATAAGTAAGATCCACAGGCTTGGAATACAGTGTATACCGCAACAAATAGTACCTTAGAAAGATACAAAAGAAATCCTCATAGTCATAGTGCAACACTGTTTTAATTATTAAAAGTTAAAAAACCCTCTCCCCAAAAAGGAACCACTACATGGACAAATGGTGGTACTTGTTTCCAAGACACCACAAACACACATGGGTTTTAACGAGTGCAATAGATGTTACCCCCCGTCCTTCAGATCTCATCGCTCAGACTTAAATCTCCCTTCTGTGCAGCTGAGTATCAGAGCCGGTATCGGTAGTCACTCCGTGTTCACCCTTCCAGAACAGAGGCCATTTCACAGTGAGAATCACGCAAGCGCCTCTAGCGGCTGTCAATGAGACAGCCACTAGAGGCTTTAGAGGCTGGATTAACCCATTTATAAACATAGCAGTTTCTCTGAAACTGCTATGTTTATAAAAAAAAAGGGGTTAATCCTAGAGGGACCTGGCACCCAGACCACTTCATTAAGCTGAAGTGGTCTGGGTGCCTAGAGTGGTCCTTTAATTTTGTGGCCCCTCACAAGATGATTGTCTTAAATGATCAAATGCTAAGACTGCTTCGTGATAGGATAGTTAACAACAATCAGAATGTAAGATGGTGGAGTAAGAATTAACCTTAAAATACTGCGAGATTTTATGATTGGGTACAAATTTGAGTCTGTATTGAAAATCTATGTTTATAACAAAACACAGAAGGGCTAAAATATTCTAAATATATAGTTTGATTAAAACGTGTGAATTTGTGAAATGTGCTTTGAGAATTATTGTTAATAAGAGCTTCTAAATTTGAGATATTTTATTCCTGACCCTATAGTGTTTAACCCACCATTTAGGTGCTTCCCCCCCACCCTTAGCCGCTTAGAAAAGGTGAAAATTCACCTTAATTCCAGCGCCGCCTTCTTGGTGACATCATTGGAATTGCCGATTTTTAGCCAATCCAATGCTTTCCCATAGGGAGAGCATTGGATTGGCTGATATTAGGAAGGGGGAGGAGGCGGGGCCAAATGCTATTTTTAGCCAATCAGCACCTCCTTATAGAGATGCATTGAATCAATGTATCTCTAGGAGGAAATTTCAGCGTCCCCATGTAGAGCGTGGGGACGCTGAACGGCAGTGCTGCCCACTGTGCAGCACTGAGCCAGGAAGCACTTCCAGTGGCCATCTGAGGAGTGGCCACTTGGAGGTGTCCCTAGGGGCAATGTAAGCACTGCCTTTTCTCTGAAAAGGTGGCGTTTGCATGAAAATGCCTGAAGGCAATGATTATACTCACTAGAACAACTACATTAAGCTGTAGTTGTTCTGGTGACTATAGTGTCCCTTTAAGTTAAATGCTGTTATATTGCCATCAGTTATTGAGTCTTTGTAAGTGTGTTAGAGTTAGTATTGCTTCCTAGGTTGACTGGTGAAGCAGGTTATATATGCATGTGAGTAGCTGGTTATGTATGTGTCTCAAATGACGTATTAGTTTGTGTAAACAAGGGGAGCAGCAACATTGTCATTCAATGGCCTGCAAATGGTAAGGGCAGCCTTGTTATGGTAGAAAGAGGCAAGGTGTGAGGTTTATATTATGCTTTTGATAAACTGGACACCAAATACATCAGTTTAGATGGCACAGAGTTAATAAAACTGAGAATTGCCATTCCGGTTAGAATTTTGGAACTGGGTAGTCGTTATAGAGACTGAGATAAGACACAACATGGACAAAGCCCAACACAAATTAAAAAGGTAAAGACAAATAATTATGTCTGTCTCATTTATCATTGTAATAGTCTTTAAAATTGATCATCCTTCATAATCCTTCATAATTTCTATAGCTTTGGTTATATTTGTTATTCACAATAAAATTAATATTCATTTTCTCAACTATCCGTGTGTCGTTAATTGAAAATAAATAGGGCTGGCATTCCAAAGGACCATGACAAACCTGCTAAACTTGTTACTTTAATTATCTATGAATTTGTAAGACTTTCTTCATTAAAATGTGTTGGTGATTACTGGAAAATCTCCTGAAATGGACAACAACTAAGTTATGTTTTATTTTGTTTGTAAAATACGTGGTTTAGAGTAATTTACAACTTGTATTCAGCCAATCACAATACAGCTATTATACGGACTGTGATACAGTGATTAATAAATGTACAGATACAGCATAAAATAATGACAATTTTGTGTCTGCTCTAAAATACATCGTCAAGCAAAAAGGGAATTGGGGGTACAACTAGACAGTGCTGTACTAAGGGAGGGGGCGGACCCCCATGGTTACCTCTCATCAAGGGGTTGCCATTTGCCGACATACCTTCGTAAATTTTACAAGCTACTTAAAATCAACTATCTCAGCAAAGACAATATGGGGATTCAGTTGCACCCTATCGCCATATTGTGTTATGCCTATGTCACGTCCTGTTTCTGCTGCGGATCATTTCTGGCTATGGCTTCTGTACTCTTTTTACAATTCTTGTTTAGTTTTTCTTGGTTTTTCTGGTTTTCTATTCCATGTCTGGTTTTCTTTATGCTGGGTTTTCTGGGTTCATTCCTGTATTCTGTTCCTGGAATTCCGGGTCTCCTGGATTCCTTTATGTTTGTTTTATGTTGCCACACTCGTTCCTTTTCCATGATTCCTTTTGTTTCAGTTGGTTCCTGCAGGCAGTTGCACCAAGTCCTCTGCCCCTTTCTTGCAGGTAAGTGCTGTATGTGTTTTATTATTGTTTATTTAGTCATGCATATCTAGGCAGATAGGACCCACCTTAATTGGAATACTTTGCAGCAGTTGGTGGGCTGCATACATCTTGGCCATTTATGTATGTCTAAATCTTCAATGTTTTACATATATAGTTCTTAGTTATGTCTCCTCTTGTTTTGCCTTGTATCTCTTGTCTTGTTTTATTTTGTTTTCCCAGTCCATGTACAGTGCTGTCCTGTCCTGCCCTGTTCTTGTTTCCCTCATGTCTTGTGTATATGTGTATATGTTCTGGGTTTTGCTTTCTGTCCTGCTCCGGTTCTGGGTTCTCCTAGTGTTGTCTTGTTTGGTGCCTGCTCTAGTCTTTCCTTGTTTCTAGTACTGGATACATTCCTGCTGCAGAGCCTCCCCATCCACATCAGGGAGGTCTGCATGTTTTCTCCTAGTTCCTGGGATCTGCAGAAGCTGCATCAGGGCCCTGAGATGTGGCCACACAAACCCTGGTGCTCAACACCAGGGGGTGTCTGGTTACCCTGCACCAGACCCTGATTGTTTCATTTCCACGAGGTTGACTCCAGTCATCATCAGGCACACAGGGGTCCCGGTTTCTGTACTGCCACCCGTGACAGCCTCCCACTACATCACAGTACCCCAACTTCGGTAGGTCCTACACTAATTCCAAACATGGTAGACAAATTAAATAGTGCTAGTGAAAAATAAGCTAAAGTGTATTTTAATCATCTGTTGTAGCATTGTGAATATATTTTAGGAAAATGAAAATGATAAAAAAAAAGCAATTCAAAAATATCCAGTCACTTTTACTTCAGGTTTGTGAATATAGATACTAGAGCCCAAACACAGAATTGGATTATTAATATATATTTTTTAATATATATTTTATTTATTTTGAATTTAACACACATACATACAAGCTTTACATAGACACAGATTGATGACACCAAACATTTGACATCATATTAAAAGTATAGCAGTATCGGACAATCAGAGGTAAAACTTTGCATGACTTGATATTATAAAAGATATTTTCTCTTATTTTGCCATGTCGTCTTGCCATCTTGTTTCATTTAACATTCACTGCCAATCTGAAGGCCATATGAAGTCCGATTCCAAGGGAGGTATATCGTCTTGCAAAGTGAGGAGTGGTTCCAAAAGATGCAGGCAACTGTCGAATAGTGTTTGGGCTTGCGGCCGCCTCCCATAATAGAGTGAGATCCCGAACCGTTAGATTGATGTTAGTGAAGTCTCGGGAGGGGGGAGGGGGGAGAGATGGGGATCGATGCTATTTTTTTATGTAGAAAGTCCCCGTGCCTGTGGAGCTCTAACCAAGTGCTGCCATTCAAACCGCAAGTCAGGGATTATTATTTTTTTTTTTTTTAGAACAAATAAAAGTGACACAGTGCCAAAAATTACATAAAACAAAAGGGGATAGAAAACCAAAATGGACCTTCAAATAAAATGGGATTTAACCCCTTAAGGACCAAACTTCTGGAATAAAAGGGAATCATGACGTCACACATGTTATGTGTCCTTAAGGGGTTAAACAAAACACAGAACCAACACTAGTGCAAACATCAATGAGTCTTAGAGTAGACTAGACAAGTCCTGTCTGATGTTGTCCAAGAGGATTTCAGTCTCATCTGGGCCGGCATTCCGTCCTGTCCTTTGTCCGCAGAAAAGACAGCCCACATGACTAATCTCTGATACTTGGGCAGGCCCTTGACATGACTGTGTGCATTACCCTTTTTTTACCCCAAACCTCTTAATTGTTCTCTATCAGGGCCCTATACTTTTATGGCTGCGGGCACACAGGGGGTGCTCTGTGAGGGTGTTAAATCACACAGCCATGCCCTTTATGATCAAATACTGCCAACTTCTTGACACCACATGCATTAGTGCTAAACAAAACAGACAATTCAGGTTAACTTCAATGAAATTTCCTTCAGGTGAGTTATGGGGTCGCCTAGGGCACAATTAAGAGGAGACACCTGGAGGTGGGGTACTGCTTGTCAGGGCCAGCTTCCTCAAGTGAGCTTACACATGTTACAGCCTGAACCATGATTAGATGGAGATGACGGGCCACAGCACTGAGTGCCAGCCAGTGGGTACACTGTCAAATTTTCTGCCTGGCAGCCACCCCAATCCCCAAGGTCTAGCTTGTTAGATACAACCAGGACCCTCCTAGACCCGGATATCTAACAGGCAATGCGACAGCACAGAGGTATATAATTTGCTTGTTTCCGACCCATGTCTTGTGCATGGGGACATGTGGGCGGAAGCATAGCAAAAAGTGGGACAGTTGGAACAGTACAGGTTGAGAGATGGGCCAAGAGCAACCAGGTCCAGTCAAGATGCCTGGAACCCACAGACTGCCACCAAAAGCCAAGCAGGCAGCTCAATGGTGCACACATATGGTCAACTGATTGGGAGATGTAGGCAAGAGAGTTAATGGAACAGTGCAATGTGTGTGTGTCTTTTTGTTTGTAAGGGTCAGTGAATGTGAGTAAGTGTTTCGGGGGGATATCACTGTTACTCTGACAGCCACTAGAGGGACTTCCTGGGTTCAGTCCTACAAAGACTGCAAGTCTGACGTTCAACTCTACATGAAGACCCTAAACGCTTCTCATAGAGATACATTGATTCAGAGGAGATGCTGATTGGCTCAGCGTGGCATTTTGTCTCACATATACACTAGCCTCCCAATGCTTTCCTATGAAGATTGATGATGAGCGAAACTACATTTTCATGCATTCGTGGTGGTGTAGGGCGGTGGAATACTAAACGCTACAGGTCGCTATTGCATTAGGAGTCCATGTTTGAATTCCTAATGTTATAGCTTTTCTTTAAATTATAGGTGAGTATTATGCCTGTATATTTCTATGTGTATTATAATATAATAATATTTATATGTGCTGTATATACTATAGGCTGAATATAATTTATGGGTGTTTATGTGTTGTCACACCATGGACTGAGTGTATGGAGTGGCAAAAGATTTTTTTGCCCAGGTTGGCAAAACTGTTACTGCACCTCTAATCTTCTCTGCAGTTTCCTGTGAGAGAGGAGATTTGGTAAAATTACCCAATGGCCATTTCTGATAATGAAAAACTCTGCTCTTAACTCGGCCTCTCCCATTTAAAACCATTCTGTCCCCATACACGGAAACTGTTGCAAATGCATTGGTGCCCGCAGGTGATTCGATAACTCCTTCCATTGTTACGTGGTATACACCGTGGGAGTCCTTGTGATATCCGCCATTGTGGTGATGTCCTGCAAGATAACAGACTACGCTGGGGTGCGAGTGGATCAGTGTGAGCATGTCTATGTAATTCCATGCCAAGCAAGTCTTCAAAGTAGTCTTTGGGTGAATGGGGATGTGACCTGCAGGGAGACAGAAGGTATGAATGTTTTATTTATACATTGTTAAGTGTTCTTGCATAGCAAGACCACTTAATGTTATCTCACATATATATTATTATTATTAAGTGTTCTTGCATAGCAAGACCACTTAATGTTATCTCACATATATATTATTAAGTGTTCTTGCATAGCAAGACCACTTAATGTTATCTCACATATATATATTATTAAGTGTTCTTGCATAGCAAGACCACTTAATGTTATCTCACATATATATTATTATTATTATTATTATAGCAAAATTTGCCACCCTAACTCCTCCCACAGTTTTTACACTACATAGACAAAAATTTACCAAAACGTGCAGATTGTTCCGATCGGATTGCTATTACTTTGTGGAACGTTTCGCCGAATGGTTCACGGAATATCGTCGTTCTTGTGACGAAATTTGTCCCATAGGAATGAATGGCAAAGCTAGAGTGGGAGCTGGCAAAAGCTGAAAAATCAGGACATGATTTCTAAACTGCCACCACTCCCTTATTTTCAGGCCCACCTACACAAATCTTATATCAAAGCGTTCAGCTATCCCTGCTGCCACTAAACATGTCAACGGCTAAGCCGTAGTCCTGATAGTTTTCACAATATAATCATTTGTTTGCAACCAACGCCGTCCATTGACATTCATTGAAACTTCACTCTGCAAAGCTCAAATTTTAAGTGCAATTTCTAAACTGCGACTGTGCCTTCAATTTTAATACTTCAGAGACATACTATGCATCAAAATGTAGGTCTGGGTCTTGTGATTCTCACAATATAAAGCTCTTCACTGTAGGAGTTATAGTTTTAAAGATACGACCGTTTGAAGATGGCAACCGCCAAAATACTCTGACCTGTGTCAAGCTGCAGCAGCAAGTGATGTCATAGACAAGGCCTTTTGAACACCTGCTAATGTTTTTATAAATGTATGGTTTAATGTAACTGTGCAACAACGTTGCAATTAAATGTGCTATATAAATTATAACAGTTACTCCGCCCACTCCAGTTGTAGACTACTGGTGGAGGCAAGAACACTTCACACAATTTCCCCAGAAATTGTAGCTTTTCTAGTTATTATTATTCTTATTATTCTTATTATAGCAAAATTTGCCACCCTAACTCCTCCCACAGTTTTTACACTACATAGACAAAAATTTACCAAAGCGTGCAGATTGTTCCCGATCGGATTGCTATTACTTTGTGGAACATTTCGCTGAATGGTTCCCGGAATATCGTCGTTCTTGTGGCCAAATTTGTCCCATAGGAATGAATGGCAAAGCTAGAGTGGGAGCTGGCAAAAGCTGAAAAATCAGGACATGATTTCTAAACTGCCACCACTCCCTTATTTTCAGGCCCACCTACACAAATCTTATATCAAAACGTTCAGCTATCCCTGCTGCCACTAAACATGTCAACGGCTAAGCCATAGTCCTGATAGTTTTCACAATATAATCATTTGTTTGCAACTAACGCGTCCATTGACATTCATTGAAACTTCACTCTGCAAAGCTCAAATTTGAAGTGCAATTTCTAAACTGCGACTGTGCCTTCAATTTTAATACTTCAGAGACATACTATGCATCAAAATGTAGGTCTGGGTCTTGTGATTCTCACAATATAAAGCTCTTTAACTGTAGGAGTTATAGTTTTGAAGATACGACCGTTTGAAGATGGCAACCGCCAAAATACTCTGACCTGTGTCAAGCTGCAGCAGCAAGTGATGTCATAGACAGGGCCTTTTGAACACCTGCTAATGTTTTTATAAATGTATGGTTTAATGTAACTGTGCAACAACGTTGCAATTAAATGTGCTATGTAAATGATAACAGTTACTCCGCCCACTCCAGTTGTAGACTACAGGTGGAGGCAAGAACACTTCACACAATTTCACCAGAAATTGTAAATTTTCTAGTTATTATTCTTATTCTTATTATAGCAAAATTTGCCACCCTAACTCCTCCCACAGTTTTTACACTACATAGACAAAAATTTACCAAAACGTGCAGATTGTTCCCGATCGGATTGCTATTACTTTGTGGAACGTTTCGCCGAATGGTTCACGGAATATCGTCGTTCTTGTGGCGCAATTTGTCCCATAGGAATGAATGGCAAAGCTAGAGTGGGAGCTGGCAAAAGCTGAAAAATCAGGACATGATTTCTAAACTGCCACCACTCCCTTATTTCCAGGCCCACCTACACAAATCTTATATCAAAACGTTCAGCTATCCCTCCTGCCACTTAACATGTCAATGGCTAAGCCATAGTCCTGATAGTTTTCACAATATAATAATTTGTTTGCAACTAACGCCGTCCATTGACTTTCATTGAAACTTCACTCTGCAAAGCTCAAATTTGAAGTGCAATTTCTAAACTGCGACTGTGCCTTCAATATTAATACTTCAGAGACATACTATGCATCAAAATGTAGGTCTGGGTCTTGTGATTCTCACAATATAAAGCTCTTCACTGTAGGAGTTATAGTTTTTAAGATACGACCGTTTGAAGATGGCAACCACCAAAATACTCTGACCTGTGTCAAGCTGCAGCAGCAAGTGATGTCATAGACAGGGCCTTTTGAACACCTGCTAATGTTTTATAAATGTATGGTTTAATGTAACTGTGCAACAACGTTGCAATTGAATGTGCTAGACTACTGGTGGAGGCAAGAACACTTCACACAATTTCCCCAGAAATTGTAGCTTTTCTAGTTATTATTATTATTCTTATTATTATAGCAAAATTTGCCACCCTAACTCCTCCCACAGTTTTTACACTACATAGACAAAAATTTACCAAAACGTGCAGATTGTTCCCGATCGGATTGCTATTACTTTGTGGAACGTTTCGCCGAATGGTTCACGGAATATCGTCGTTCTTGTGGCGAAATTTGTCCCATAGGAATGAATGGCAAAGCTAGAGTGGGAGCTGGCAAAAGCTGAAAAATCAGGACATGATTTCTAAACTGCCACCACTCCCTTATTTTCAGGCCCACCTACACAAATCTTATATCAAAACGTTCAGCTATCCCTGCTGCCACTAAACATGTCAACGGCTAAGCCGTAGTCCTGATAGTTTTCACAATATGACCATTTGTTTGCAACCAACGCCGTCCATTGACATTCATTGAAACTTCACTCTGCAAAGCTCAAATTTGAAGTGCAATTTCTAAACTGCGACTGTGCCTTCAATTTTAATACTTCAGAGACATACTATGCATCAAAATGTAGGTCTGGGTCTTGTGATTCTCACAATATAAAGCTCTTCACTGTAGGAGTTATAGTTTTTAAGATACGACCGTTTGAAGATGGCAACCGCCAAAATACTCTGACCTGTGTCAAGCTGCAGCAGCAAGTGATGTCATAGACAGGGCCTTTTGAACACCTGCTAATGTTTTTATAAATGTATGGTTTAATGTAACTGTGCAACAACGTTGCAATTAAATGTGCTATATAAATGTTAACAGTTACTCCGCCCACTCCAGTTGTAGACTACTGGTGGAGGCAAGAACACTTCACACAATTTCCCCTGAAATTGTAACTTTTCTAGTTTATTTTACATTTCTTATCCCAATGACTTAGCCAGGGCTATTTACATTGAATACATTAGGGAGTCAGACATAAGGTTAGATATCTCTAAACATTAAAAGTATGATGTCAATTTTTACCGGAATTTAGTGTATATTGACAGCTCTACAATCTACAGATAAATAATGCAAAATCGGAGACACTTAATATGCCTCAAGAATGAAATGCCTTGGCATATGGCAGCACACCAATCTTGCCAAATCTATGGAGTTAATTTTCACCCTTTATTAACTAAACTGGCACGAGATCTTTAACAGTAGTAAAAACCTCACTTACTTTGGATAGAGAGAATAAACGCAACAGAATTACACTACTCCCCAGGGGCCTATATGCAACAAAAGCTGACAGTCAAGATACCACAGAGTTTTTTTTTTTTTAGAACTCCAGTCACATTATCAAAAATGTATTTTGAAGAACAAGTCCCCACTTCTAGCATAACCCGTACTGGCTCTGCCTAAGTTGGGAGGAGGGCTGGTACTTCAGGAATTGGATAAATATTATTACACAACACACTTTTCCAGGTGTATTTCCTGGACAGAGGCAGACAGATTTAAAGACTGGGTGGGTCTCGAGAGCGACCTCACTAGGCTGGACCTTGTAGACCTACACGGACACACACATTACTGCGGACTCTTACACACCATCAATAATCTCACTGCATATTTTTGATCCCACAGAAAATGTGTCTACAGAGCGATTTAACTGACTTCAAAAAGCTATGCCATTATGGACCTCTCCCCGTATGATTATATCCCTACTATATGGCATATTGATACAGAGTAGATATTCCCTACCACCCTCTTTCATTGCAAAGTGGGAGAAGGTCCTGGGGCTAACGTTTACAAAGTCTGAGTGGGATAAGGCCATAGAGCTCTTCTCTCCACCGGCACTTTCCTTTTTATCAGTGTCCTGAATTAATCAGTGCTTGAACATGACACACTGTCAGTGGACTGGTCCGGTGTACTTCTGCTGTGAAGATACTTGTATGTATGTTATGCACATGAAAACTGCATTATGACGGCCTATATATATAAACGTGGACACCTGTTACATTTGTTTGTATTTCCAACATTCCAATTTGTCTAAATGTTCATTTTTTTAATGAATGTCAATAAAGTTTTATTGAATATAAAAGCATGACGTAGAGAAGGGTGGAACCATGCCATTCTGTGCGACTCCTAAAAGGGCCAACAATCCTAATGCAATCAGGGCTGCCAATGTGCACGGCACTGGTGAAACCCTCTTGCTTTGGAGGAGGGCATATAAAAGTTTATGGGAGCGATAATAGCTTTTAACATGCTGCTGACTTCAGACATCTCAAAGAATTTTTGGACCCTTGTAAATCTTTCAAATACCTTCATTTGTTTAATTTTTATATTTTATGTGGATCTGTTTATTGTTATTATTATTGCCATTTATATAGCGCCAACAGATTCCGTAGCGCTTTACAGTATTATAAAAGGGGAAGATTTAACAATAAATAAGATCATTACAAAAAACCTACAGAAACGATAGGTTGAAGAGGACCCTGCTCAAACAGGCTTACAGTCTATAGGAGGTGAGGTATAAAACACTAAGGGACAGGAAATAGCAATCAAATAAGTTGGGAGTGAAGCAGAGCTGGAGGAGAGAGTAGAGTGCTGCCCTTTAGGAGAGAGCAAGGGACAGGTATGTGAGGTAGAGGTTACTCTGGGAGACAATAAGCTTTCCTAAAGAGATGGGTTTTAAGGCCCTTCTTAAATGATTGAAGACTACGGGAGAGTCTGATGGCGGTAGGCAGGCTATTCCATAGGAAAGGAGCCGCCCACGAGAAGTCCTGCAAGTGTGAGTTGGCCGTACAGGTGCGAGCAGCGGACAGGAGAAGGTCATGGGCAGAGCAGAGAGACCAAGAAGGGATCTGTGATGAGATATAGGAGGGGATAGAATTGTACAGTGCTTTATAGGTGTGGGTTAACACTTTGAATTGACTCCTATAGGATACAGGAAGCCAATGTAAGGACTGACAGAGGGGAGAGGTGTGAGAGGACTGACTGTAGAGGAAAATCAGTATGGCAGCAGCATTCATTACAGACTGTAGCGGGGCAATACGGCTTCTGGAAAGACTAATTGGGAGAGGGTTACAATAATCCATGCAAAAAATTACTAGAGCATGGACAAGGTTTTTAGTAGCATCTTGCGTAAGAAACGGGGAGATGCGGGCTACGTTTTTAAGGTGGATTTGGTAACATACTCCCAATGACTCAAGCACATTTAAATTGTCCCGGACGTAATCTTGTTTAATACAGTGTTTTGTTTTTATTTATTTTTTCTATAAATATAGACCTCAACTGTTACTAAGTCTTATTAATGAAATATTTTTAACTACAACTTACCAGCTATAACCACTCTTTCTCGGCGTTCATCAGAAAACTTCAGGACGTTATGTAACCAGGACAGCTGCTCCGAGCTAAATCCCCCATTAAACTCCTTCAGCTGGGGTGACGAATAATCTGGTTAAAAAACAAAACAATTCAAGGGAGGATAAAAATAAAAACGCATAAAGACAGTACAAGCTTTGTGACTTAAAAATAACCTTTCGGGCACCATAACAACTTAAATATGATGTTGTGAAAATTCTGATGTTGTGAAAGTTGTTATGGTGTCAAGGGGTCCATGGCGCCAGCTTACCTCCAGGGGATTCACAAACCTGTTAACCCCAAAGTGTTGAATCCAGCCCCGGCTGGCTCTGCCCCTCTCCTCCCGCTTTTCTCTGGGGCTTAAATCAGGAAGCCTTAGACAGGGGTGCTGCAAATTGGCAGAGGGCTCTAAGCCAATAAATAGCTCCCCATTCATAAAATGGATTTAGAAAAATAAGTTACTTTAAACCCTAAAGGCCTGAGCCAGGGACCTGTAGGCACCATAACAACTTTATTCCGATGAAGTTGTTATGGTGCCCGGAAGTTCCATTTAATTAACACTATGTAATCGTGATGAAGGATATCTTACATTCCAACTGCCTAAATATCCTATATAACTAAAGGATCCCCATCTAGGGGTGGTGACTACGAAATTACGGTATTTTCAAATTTTACGTAAGTAATCATTAAAGAAAATCTGTCACTTGGAATTTTTTTAGCCAACATGAATAGCGAACTGAAAGTTAGCAATAGGTTTTGATTTATATTTAGCAAACTATAGTTTTTTTTATTTATTTAGATTAACCTGATATACCAGTCTGTCATATAAAGCAAGTCAGTCATTTCCCATGATGCAGTGAGCAAAAGGATGGTGTGTCTGAGAGCATATAAGAACTGTTTGCTTGTCTGCTGCCTTTGCAAGCCCTCCCCTTCTAACCCCGCCCAGACTTTCTGTGGCTGTCCAATCACAGACTTCCCAATGCAGCTCAATGAGAAGTCTTGGCAAGGCAGGCGCTCTGGGCAATTGCTGCCTGTTGAGTTTAGCTTCACTGAGCTAAACAAACCAGGAAGTAACAGGGTCAGGTGTCTGTTTGACAGCCAGGGGGTGTAACCTGGTAAATTTATAAAAGCGCCAATTTCTCTTGGAATCTGTACTTTTTGTAAATTGAAATCAAAGTACGCACTCTTCGCACATAAAGCACTTCAGCAAGCTAAAATGATTTAGTGGTCTAAATTGTCCCTTTAATCACCAGCATGACAGTAATCAGATTAGGTGGGGTTAACACTCCTCTTGCCTTTGCTGCCTTCAGAATCCTTGCTTTGGTAATTTCCATGAAGGTAGTCTGATGATTCTAGGTATTTAGGATTAGAAAAATCTCTGCCATGGACACTCAAATCATAGCTGTCCACTAGAATAAAGCGAAAATTAGGAAATGGGCTGAAATGGTATGCGTAGTAATTAAAGCAGTCTGTACTGTTTGATATACATGTGCCCATTCCCGGTTTTTGTTCATCAGCTATAAACATGGTGTTCAGCGGTGAATCCGCTAAAAAAATACGATCAAAGTTGAGGAGCTCGTGGTTTCCCCATATGTGGTGGAAAGGAACATCGATATTTTTAATTTCTTTCAGAACAACCTGGAGTGCATTTGAAGATTGACATAGACACGCGTTGCATCCATCAATGATATCTCCAAGCTGAAGCACGAACTGTAATGGAATATCTTCTGTTTTCCACTCATCTATGGCTTGCCGGAGATGTAGGAGACTTTGTCGATAGAACCTCATTGTCCTCCATCCACTGATTCCATCTGGTCGATCGGCATATTGGACATCTGCTATAACCCCAAAAGTAAAATATGGCTGCTGCGTTCCATCTTTGCCTTCCTCTATGTTAATTTGTTCTGCCATCCTACAATAGAAGATTTTTATGAATGTCCAAGCCTTTTTTTTACTGTTCTGTTTTACCCCATTAGTTAAAAAGCATTTTGAGGAGGCTTTAACCAGGGCTGTTCAAATGCTATTGTAGAACTACGACTTCCATGATGTTTTTACAACAGTATTACAACCATAGGCGTGCGCACGGGGTGTGCCGGTACCGGCAGTGCCAGGGCACACCCTAATCCCTGCGGCACGCCTATGGATTGAGACCGCCAGGGGAGATCTCAGGATCTCTCCTGTCGGCTCATGCAGGGCCCGCGCTATCCGAGCATCAGCTCTGCTCTAAGCCTACATGGGCTGGTGGGGAGATCAAAGCTCTCCCTCACCGGCCCACAGGCAGGGAGGGAGGCAGGAGAGGACCCGGGGAGCTCTAGCCAGCAGCTCCGCCGGGTTCCTCTCGCGAGATCTGGGCGTTGCCATGGCAACGCTCAGATCTCTTGAGAGTGAACTCTAGCCCCGTAGGCTAGAGTTCACTCTCCACTGGACCACCAGGGATGGCACATGGCAGCAAGGATCTCCCCTCCCTACATAAGGTAAGAAGGGAGGGGGGATATTTACTAATCTGCCCCCACCTCCACCCCCACAATCCCTCCAAACATACAGCACACACACACACATCCAGCACCCTCACACACACAGCACACAAACAGCACACACACACACATACAGCACCCACACACACATAGCACACAAACACATACAGCACCTACACACATACAGCACACACACACAGCACCCACACACATACAGCACACAGACAGCACCCACACACACATACAGCACCCTCACACACAGCACACAAACAGCACTCACACACATGCAGCACACAAACAGCACCCACACACACACATCATCTACACACATGCTGTATGCACCCTCACACACACAGCACCTACACACATACAGCACCCACACACAGCACCCACACACACACAGCACACATACAGCACCCACACACATGCAGCACACAAACAGCACCCACACACACACAGCATCTACACACATACAGCACCCTCACACACACAGCACATACACATATACAGCACCCACACACAGACAGCACCCCCAAACACACAGCACACATACAGCACCCTCACACACACAACACACATACAGCATCCTCACACACAGCACACAAACAGCACCCACACACATACAGCACACAAACAGCACCCACAGACAGCACCTACACACATACAGCACCCACACAGAACACAGCACCCACACAGAACCCACACACATACAGCACCCTCACACACACAGCACCCACACACATACAGCACCCACACACACACAGCACCTACACACATACAGCACCCTCACACACACAGCACCCACACACATACAGCACACAAACAGCACCCACACACACACAGCACACACACACATACAACACACAAACAACACCCACACACACAGCACCCTCACACACACAGCACACAAACAGGAAACGGCATGTGTTTGTGCTTTAGGGTGGACACCCTAATGCAATAGGCTGCACACGTCTATGATTACAACATTTTGGGATCTACCATTTGTCCACGTCTACTTTGGATGTCTACATAGACACTTACATCTTAAAGGGACATGCATTATTTGATTAGTTTTTTTTAATAATAGTTAAAAAAAAAGCATACAATACTTTTACAAATATGCAAGCTAAAATAAAGCATGAAAAGTTTGAAAAGTATTTAATTAACACGTTTAAACTTACTTAGATTTTCTCTAATTTATTTGTAAAAAGTGTTGGCTGCTTCGAGTAAGACTACGTTGGTGTGGGAAGTAGTTGGGAAAATACTCCCCTCTATTGTCCTATAATTTTGTTAGAGGGGGAGAGTGGACATATTCTGGCCTCCCCCATTTTGGTAATAATATTAACATTGTATACTTTGTTGTTTAAACTAGATTAAAAAAGGGGGGGGGATATTTTTTTATACATAGCTTTTAAAGAGAAACTGTCGCTTCTTTGGAATTGTTATACATGTGTATAAATATTGAAAACGGCCTTTAACTTTTATTAACCTTTTCTGTTTTATTTTAAATTAATATTCAAGATTTAGTACATATTAATCCAGTTCAGACAAGGAGAAGCCTGAAGAAACATCGCAAATGAAGAGGAGGCGAAGAAACATTTTCATTTCTCCTCTGTATACTTTCTCTATGCAGACTGAGCTTAGAACAATAATTATAGGGACAATACATTTAAAGGAACAGCACACACACAAAAACAAAAATACAGTTTTATATTTTAGAAGGCTACTTAAAAACACCTATCTTAGCAAACAAATATGGGTATTTAGTTACCTTAATGTTAGTTAGTTAGTTTGCTAAGATAGGGGATTTAAGTAGCCTTGTATAATTTAAAACTTTATTTTTGTGGGTGTGCTGTTTCTTTAACTGCTTAGAAATGCATGTTCTTGGTGTGCCCCAAATTTACATTTTATTCTGAATAATTATAGGGATCTGAGATGTAGGATAAAGAAGTAGAGATTTCTTTATTTAATTTTTTTCACACTACACAAATATATATATATATATAAATATAGGGATACGTTAAGTAAACATAATATTAAAAATTATGGAAAGTTCCTCTTTAAATTATTAAATCTCTAAAAAGAAGCCAACAGAAAATTGTTCCTGATCCCCACAAACATATACAGGGTTATTTCATTTTAATTCTAATTTTGGTAAATAAATCCTAAAATATTGCTCTGTACCCCTGTGATAGAAACTTTTTTTTGTCTATACAAAATCGTGAGTGGTCAGGAATTCACTATGGAAATTTAAAGCGTAAGATAAAATAGCTGATTTTTCAGTTTAGTAATTTTGCTTTAATATTTTCACTTGTTGGGGGGGGGGGGGAATGTGTTTGTCATTTGAAATATGCTTCTCTGTAAAAATCCCCCAGATTGTTCTTACTCCATCACCAATACAGGATTAAAATTATTTCCTTAAAGAGACACTGTAGTCACCAGAAGAACTACAGGTTAATGTAGTTGTTCTGGTGAGTATAGTCGGTCCCTACAGACTTTTTGCAGTAAACACTGTCTATTCAGAGAAAAGGCAGTGTTTACATTAGAGCCTAGGGAAACCTCCACTGGCCACTCCTCAGATGACTGCTACAGGTACTTCCTGGGGCAGTGCTGCACAGTGTGACTGACATTCTGAGTCACTAAACGTTCCTCATAGAGAAGCAGTGATTTAGTGCATATCTATGAGGAGATGCTGACTGTCCAGGGCGGTGTTTGGCTCCGTTCCCTGACGGCCTCCTGGGCAATCTCTGCCAATTCAATACCTTCTTATGGGAAACCATTGTGATTGGCTGAGATTATCCCTTCTGATTGTGTCAACCAAGGAGGCAGATTGGGGCAGAGCCAGCACCAGCAGACTGGAACAAAGGTAAGAGGAGGGGATGGGGGGAGGCTAAATACTGATTTTAACACTACAGGGTCAGGAATACGTTTGTGTTCCTGACCCTATAGTGTTCCTTTAAATATATTAGAAGCCAATTTTATGGTGCAGCATATGACGATTTCAAGGACTTTGATGACTAAACTAGTTTTTATTTAATTATTTTCTGTTAAAGAATGCCTTATTGGAGCTAAGGAGGACAGTTAGTATTGATTTTTATTTGTATGTTTGTATTCACTAAAGGCTGACTGTATATAATTGCTGCTCTGTTTTTTTTCATATATATTTTTATTTTATTTTGTAAATTCCTTTTACCAATTGCTGCTGAAGGAATTAAAGGGACACTCCAGGCACCCAGACCACTTCTGCCCATTGGAGTGGTCTGGGTGCCAACTCCCACTACCCTTAACCCTGCAACTGTAATTATTGCAGTTTTCATAAACTGCATTAATTACCTTGCAGGGTTAACTCCTCCTATCGTGGCTGTCTACTAGACAGCCACTAGAGGGCACTTCCTGGTCCATAGCACAGGTTTTCTGTGCTATAGCGTCGCTGGACGTCCTCGGCTGTGTGAGGACCTCCAGCGTCACTAAAATCCCCATAGGAAAGCATTGCATGCGCATTGCATGCGCATTAGGTCTCCCCCGCCGGCTGACATGATGAAAGGGAGGAGCGGCGGCGGCCAAGAAGCAGCGACGAAGGACATCGTCGCTGCCTTTGGTAAGTGACTGAAGGGCTTTTCACCCCTTCAGCAACCGGGGACTGGGAGGTGGGAGGGAGAGGGGACCTGCAGTGCCAGGAATTGTTTTCCTGGCACTGGAGAGTCCCTTTAATAACCACTTCCCCGCACGTAACTCTTACCTGCCCCTACTGCTGCTGGGGTTTTCCCGTCTAACAATGCTGCACAGGAGTGATACAATCGTCCTCAAGGGCGAAGGATTTATGTTATTGTAACTTCCTACTGTCAATAAATACGTTTTTGTCTACATGTTACACACCCCATGTCATACCAATACCATGACAAGTCAACTGTGTTTAACCCCTTAAGGACATATGACACGTGTGACATGTCATGATTCCCTTTTATTCTACAAGTTTGGTCCTTAAGGGGTTAAAAAAATGGGTGATGTTAAAAATTAGCAATTCTGGAGCAATGACATACATCTTTGACAATCAGTGTGTAAACCAAAAAAGGAAAGCACATATTTATTGATCCACTTTAATTATCGCATGGATTTTTAGTTATGGATTTTTAGAAACTTTTGGTACCAATTGCCCCTTGGTAATATTGCACAGGCACTGTATTAGAACCTATTTCAAAATTATGGTAAACCTGCATTACAAGCATCTGCAGTACTAAGGCACAGTACTCACAGTGGGGGGCTCCAGCATTTATTGGACAAAGCTAGGAGGGGTGTATCCGGCAGTACAGCTAGAGAAGGGCTAACTATAACATCTTGCAATTAACCAAAACTAGTTGGATTTTTTTCCTCGGTGTCCTATTGAGCGGACACATTGTGGTTTGTGCTAATTTAACGCCATGTCCCGCCACCTATAATAACGTCATCTAAACAGATTTATTTACTATTCTCTTTAATCACATAGTGAGTCATTGCTCAAGAAAGCCAGCATTGCTCCTTAATTGTACTTACTACCCAGGCAATAATGCAGAGTACAGACATTTGATTTTTTAGTCCAGATTTAAGATTTAATTATCATGCCTTCGCTGCCTGGAGATGTCCCCTTTGGGGCCTTTTCTTACCTGGTATCCATTCCGAGGTCCAGATGCTTTAACCGTTATTCAAATAGGATTTGTTGGCAATTCAAAATTGAATTGAAACTTTTAAGGCAAGATAGCAAAACTGGTAAACAGATAAGGGTTAAGATGCCACGGGGCCAAAGGTAGGTTTCCAATTTGGGACCCCTCCATCATTCTTCACATAGGGATAGTAAATGGGGCCAGACAAATTTATGGTTCCTGGGGCTCCTTGTCTAATCCCTGGGCCCTAAGCAGCCGCCTAGGGTCCCCCTATGGTTAGTCCTGCTCTGCAGGAAAAGTTTCCCAAGTGAGTTGTGTTTTCACATCAGTTGCTTGTCCTAACTCTGAAATTCACTTTGAATTCCTGACAATTCACACGTTCGTAAATCACTGTGTGGGATATATAGCACACAGAGGCACGTGATGGCTAAGGATACTGGTAGTTGTAGATTTTATCAGCTACATTTCCTGATACCCCACCCCTAACCTCGCACATTATAACTTACCTGGGTCTCTTACTTGATAAAACCTTGCTCGTGTTTCCTGTCTGTACACTTGTCATACAATCCACACGTGAAGCACAGACAGGTTTCACAACTCTCTTCTCAATGATGCAGCGAAACGATACTGGATTTATGTGATCCGTAACCCAGCCCTGCCTCGCCCCCTCCAAGCAGACTATGCATTGAGTTACAATGTAGCACCATCTAGAGATGGAATTGGGAAACTCATAGAACAAAAACAAGTACAATCACTAAAGGACAAATTTGATCACATGACAGGAGGCTTCGTATTTTGCATAACTTTCTTTACTTTATGCCTCCAGCAGCACAAATCAATCAATAAACTTTAAACCAATCAGTAACAGGCATCACATCCATATATAAAGCCCTGACAGACACATGACTTCCTCTTCCTTTACTGCTCCAGCCAAGGCACATGGCAGAGTAATTTGCTCCAAACTGTCTTTTATTGATAATTGCAATAGTCACTTTATTTAAACATTTATTGTTTGGTATTCAGCCCCTGTTCCCGTTCTCCCTGCTTTACCCTCTGTATAACTGTAATACTAACGTTTGTCTGTTATGTCTGCTGGACCTGGTTTCCCTCCCTGTCACTAACGTCACGCGGATTGCTGCGTTTTACAGTTTTTGCCATACCGGCGGGCCACACGGCGCATTTGCGCGTGAAAGGCGACCATCTTGAATCTCGCAATACCGCTAGATTCATGTCGGCCATTTTGCTTTCACCAGTTCGCGATTCCCACGAACTAGCAAAGTTTTCTACAGCTATTTATGTATAACCTACTGTTAATTCTCTACTGTGTACATAGTTCCCCACACAGCTTCTGTGCATGAATGTACTTATCTGATGTGTTCACATAGTATTCATACTCAGTCTACCTTCAGGATATTAGATTAGGAGCTGTTAACTAGTGTCCAGCCCTCCTACTCCCACTGGAATTTCCAACTACATGGATATACTCCCTCTCCCTAGGGATTCATTAATCATGATCCAGTGGCGGATGCACATAACTGAGTATATAACTGGGGTGACCCCCCCTATGCTGGGTGACCCCCAAGCAAGCATGGCACCTGTCTTAAGTGACATACATATAAGGGGTGACGCCTCTACACTGGGTGACGCCCAAGCGAGTCTGGCACCTGTCCTAAGTGACATACATATACAGGGGTGACCCCCCCTATGCTGGGTGACCACCAAGGGAGTCTGGCACCTGTCCTAAATTACATACATATACAGGGGTGACCCCCTATGCTGGGTGACCCCCAAGTGAGTCTGGCACCTATCCTAAGTGACATACATATACAGGGGTGACCCCCCCTACGCTGGGTGACCCCCAAGCGAGTCTCACATCGGTGTTAGTGGCATACATATATAGGGGTGACCCCCCTTTCTGACAGGGTGACTCCCCGCGCCCTATTAAGGGCTTCTACCCACAGAGTATGCTCTGTCACTGTGTACAGACCAGGGTGCACTAGATGCATGTATTTCGGCACCTCCATGCTACTACTGGGGTGATTCGTACGCCTCCTTGCCTGAGCTGGGAAGGAGAGCTCACAGTGCTGCCGAAAAACAACAGTACTATACCATATAAGGGTGGCCCCTTGGATTATATATATTGAGGTTGCCACGCCTTCTAATACACGGACTACACATCCCGGCATTTATGACTGCTTATCCCGGTCTTATTGAGGGTGACCCACTCGTCAGACCACTCCTCGGATTTTACTAAGTGGTACTGATTGACTGACAATTCTGGGTGACCCCTAGTTGTATGTGGAGGCTCACTGTGCGGCAACAAGTGTACTACCGTACCTGACACCCGTTCTGTTTCCCATAGACCAAAAGAGTGTAACCCAGCATGTCGGACTCCCCTCAATCACCCCCGACCAATTTTAAGTCAATGATTAATGCAGCTGCAGCAGCTTTGGTGGAAAAAGCCCTTGCCAAAATGCTGGCAAAAAACCCATCTGACATGGCGGGTGCGGCAGCCCCACCACCAATGGAAGCCAGAGACACCAACAACGTTAGGTCGGACACCTTATCATCTAAACGTCATTGGAAGGGCTCCACCATGGCTCCCCTGAAGGGGAAAGAGAAGGCCCCGCTTAAGCGAATCCGTCATTCGGAACATCCTGACCATTCGCCACCTCAGGCTCCATCATCAGGAGACGAGGACTCCATCCCTCCCCCTTCCCTGGAGATCATGGACGAATGCAGAAGAGTCTCCATCTGAAGAGGAAGAGTGGCAGGACCTACCCCAAGAAGAAGGGAGCTACACTCAGGGCAGAGAACATCCGGGGCGCCCTAGCAAGAAAGGCTTTTGATGGGCAAATAACGATTTGTGTGAGGATAGTGTCTTCTTTGACACACTGGGCACTCTCATGTTCGACCCACGCACCATCCAACATCCAAGGTCTTCCGAATGGGATTTACCAGATCACCTGGCACAATTTGTCCACTTCTGGCTCAGGAGGCCTATGGAAAAGGAAGTTCAAGCCAAGCTCAGGGCGGAATACCCACACCCTCTATTAATGAACAAGATAGCCCTCACTCCGGAGTTCGATACCAGGGTGGTGGTATTTATGTCCCGATCAGGCCGGGATCCACGAAAAGGCATAGGAAAATGGCTTAAAGCGGTTCTGGATAAAATTCTGGACATAATCGGTCCCCATGCAAAAATATTATATTTTGCAGACCTGGCCCTCACTCAAGACTCACCTCTAGAAGCTCATGATGTGAGGGAATGGGTGCAAATTGCAATATGTGTGCTGGGAAACGCAAATGCAGCCATGTGCACAGAATGGCGCAAAGCAGCCATGTTAAAAATGGATTCCAAACTATTAGAGTTGGGGAAGAAAGAACTAGCCCTCTGGCGGACGGGCTTTTGTTTGGAGAGCCATTTATCGAAGAGCTGAAGAAACACGTGGGCCTGTTACCACTCTGAACAAGGCGCAGGTTTGCATCAGGCAAGTCTTCCGCAACCCTACACTGAGCTGAGGGGTTTTCGGCAAGGCTGGTCGGCAGAGAGGTCGGGCCACCAGCTGCTTCTGGTCCTCGGGTCCCAGACATTAAACCACACCTCAGCCCTTCTTCCCATCCTCAAGAGCCACCTTCGCAAGGGGATCCTTCCGCGCAAAGGGCGCTAGAGGCAGAGGTTGTGGATGATTCAATTCAGGTGAGCATGCTTCCCCCACTACTTTGTCAGTCAGGTATAACCACAGGCAGGTTGTCTCTCTTTCCACAGAACTGGGAAGCCATCTCCACAGACGCCTGAGTCCTCCAAATGATAAAGGGGTACATGAACAGGTGGTACGACCTACCCCACTTCGGGAAGCAAAAGCCCACATATCGCTCATAGACAAGGAGATTTGAGCCCTGTTCGACAAAGGAGACGTGGAGTTCGCTTCAGACGATCAGGGCTATTTCAGCAACAGTAAGAAAGAAGATGGGAGACTATTGTCCAGTCATCAACCTGCACCAACTCAATGGATTTGTGGCGTACCGATATTTCAAGATGGAAGGTATCCATCTCTTACGGGATCTACTCCTCGAAAACGACTGGTTCACACGGTTGGATTTGAAGTACGCTTACCTATCGGTTCCCATGGAGCATGTAGGTCGCTCCTTCCTTCGCTTCACTTGGAAGGATTGACCTTGCCAGTTCACGTGTCTACCGTTCGGCCTCAGCTCGGCCCCATGGTGTTTCACGAAGCTTCTGAAGCAGGTCATGGCACACTTGAGAGCAAGGGGTATCCGCTGTCTCACATACCTGAACGACATGCTGATTTTTTGCAAATCCAATTCCAGACTGCAGTCACAGATGAGATTTATAATACAGTTTCTGGAATTGTTGGGTTTCGTAGTGAACAGAGAGAAGTCGTCTCTGGTCCCATCCCGAGTGATTCAGTTCCTCGGCTTCAAAATAGATTCCACCTCTTTTACGCCTTCCCACATCAAAGATAGCGGCAGACAGGTTCTCCCGACACTGGTGGGACGGCAGCGTCTGGGGTCTGGACACCTTGATATTCTCCATTGTGAGAGCGCACAGGGGCCTGCTACTCATAGATCTTTTTGCGTCCGGGACGAACACTCAACTACCAAGATACTTCCCTGATCTGTAGGCTGCCCCTGTGCCTCACTTCCCTGATCTATAGGCTGCCCCCCATGCCTCACTTCCCTGATCTATAGGCTGCCCCCCATGCCTCACTTCCCTGATCTATAGGCTGCCCCCATGCCTCACTTCCCTGATCTATAGGCTGCCCCCCATGCCTCACTTCCCTGATCTATAGGCTGCCCCCCCATGCCTCACTTCCCTGATCTATAGGCGGCCCCCCCAAAGCCTCACTTCCCTGATCTATAGGCTGCCCCCATCCCTCACTTACCTGATCTGCAGACTGGGAGTTCCTAGCTGCATGTGCTGCTCCCCTGCGGTTTCAGTCAGCAGAGAGAAGCAGGGATAACATTTAGCTTCCTATCCCAGTCTCTCTCCATACTACTGTCTGGCACCGGTATTGCACTGTATTTTCAATCTCACACGAAAAATAGCAGAAGAAGCTGAAAAATCCAGGGGGGTGGGGGCGGGGGGGTGGGCAAGTGCCCCCCTGCGACCGTCCATGGTTCTACATGTTATTCAGGACTTTGATTGAATTCCCTGACATATTAGACTGTTTTCCTAGCAAAGAAAGAGGAAGTCATGTGTCTGTCAGGGCTTTATATATGGATGTGATACCTGTTACTGATTGGTTTAAAGTTTATCGATTGACTTCTGCTGCTGGAGGCATAAAGTAAAGAAAGTTATGCAAAATACTCATCTCCTGTCCTTATTAAAATTAAAGGACCACTCTAGGCACCCAGACCACTTCAGCTTAATGAAGTGGTCTGGGTGCCAGGTCCCTCTAGGGTTAACCCATTTTTTCATAATTATAGCAGTTTCAGAGAAACTGCTATAATTATGAATGGGTTAAGCCTTCCCCCTAATCCTCTAGTGGCTGTCTCATTGACAGCCACTAGAAGCGCTTGCGTGCTTCTCACTGTGATTTTCACAGTGAGAGCACGCAAGCGTCCATAGGAAAGTATTGTAAATGCTTTCCTATGCGACGGGCTGAATTTGTGCGCAGCTCTTGCCGCGCGTGCACATTCAGCCCAGGAGGAGGGTCGGAGGAGGAGAGCTCTCCGCCCAGCACTGGAAAAAGGTAAGTTTTAAACCCTTTCCCCCTTCCAGAGCCAGGCGGGAGGGGGTCCCTGAGGGTGGGGGCACCCTCAGGGCACTATAGTGCCAGGAAAACGAGTATGTTTTCCTGGCACTATAGTGGTCCTTTAAGATTATAGGTACACTAAATTACCATAATCTACAATTAAGGGATTAATGTAGTGTAAAAAAAATCATAAAGAAAGATGATATTCCATAAATATAAAGAGTTAAAGTAAAAGGCCAAGCTGGGAATAAGTCCAAATATTTATTAACCCCTTAAGGACCAAACTTTTGGAATAAAAGGGAATTATGACATGTCACACATGTCATGTGTCCTTAAGGGGTTAAAGGAACACTCCAAACCCCAAAAGCACTTTAGCTTGCTGAAAAGATTTATGTGTGAAGAGTGTGACGCTTTTATAAATTACACTGGTTACACCCCCATGGCTTTTCAAACAGACAACAGGTCCTGTTACTTCCTGGTTTGGTTAGCTTATTTGCACTGAACTCAAGAGGCAGCAATTGCCTAGAGCACCTGCCTTGCAAAGACTTCTCATTGAGTTATATTGGGAATTCTGTGATTGGACAGACACAGAAAGTCTGGGCGGTGTTTGAAGGGGAGGTCTTGCAACGGCAGCAGACAAAAGTTCTGCAGTTTTTGCAAGCTGTTTTTAGATATAACTCCAATGCAAAAATGCATAATTAAATTCATGCAAGTTTTCATTTTGGGCTATATCTATTAAACAGTGATTTATTTAATTAATTTTGCATTTGGGCAGTGGAGTGTCCCTTTAAACCAGTAAGTAGATAATGCATTGGAGAAAAGAAGAAAAAAAAAAAAGTAAATCCTCATGGCAGCCGGTGACCAGGAGGTAGCTGAGTTCTCTCAGCCAGTCCTTGTCCTCTAATTGTTTAATGTGTTAGGACTGTTCTTATCCCATAACTTCCCCAAAGAACACATTTTTTTGATTTTGCAAGTAGATCCATTCATGTTTTTCTCTTGCATTCCTGTTGACGTTGTTGATTGATTTTCTGACTCTCTCTTTTGGTTGGCTATGAGCAAGCTTGTACAAGTCAATAAATAGTTGTATAGCACGTCAGGGGGATGAATTATGTCTCAGTGTGTGTGTGGGTCATTGTTTCATGGACCCATAAACCATTGCTGCAGTACAAATAACGACATAGCTCCTGGTTAAAGAGGGGTCTTGCCTTGGTCATGCTTAGGCAAACCGGTACATACTTCCACCTGTACAAATAAAGTGCACACAAGCACAAAGACTGATAGGGTCTCTTATGGACGTACAGCACTGTACATCCATGAGAGACCCTACCAGTCTATGTGCTTGTTTTATGCTAGACATTAGAACATAGATTTTGCTGCAATAGGCACTGCCATTCATGCCAAAAGTATGCCATGCAAACCCACATGTAGCTTCATTTGTCCTACATATACCATGCTTAGAATTCTATGGGTACTTTGGTGAGAGTTTGGCTCAACATGTTATGTTTTTGAAGAAATAACATGCCTATCTCTGTGAAAACCTAGTTATTGTAGCAGTATAAATGTTCATTTTGTACCCAATATAATAATTTTATGCATTTCAGAAGTTCAGGAATTCCCAAATATTTACTGAAATAGTTACCAAAAAGTTTCTCTCTCAGACGGGTTGAAAAAAGGACATGGAGTAGACCTGTGCAACCCCAGATCTAAGCTGGGGGGATGGGATGGGGGGGAGAAGGAGGAGGGGGTAAGAGGAGTAGTTACTCACATTCTAGAGACAGTCTCATGAATGGAGTCAAATAGATAAAAATTGGTTCCATAACTAAGAAAAACAGGTTCCACAGCTGCCGAGAAACACTTACGTGGATTGCCACGTTTTCTCCATAATGAAGAAAACGAATACGCCACGATTCATAGGTAAGGGTAAATATTTTTTATTCCAAAGTGAATGTATAGTTAGGAAACATGGGAGAGAGTGAAGATCCCCACTGACGCGTTTCGTGCCCCAGCTGCACTTCATCAGCTCTTCACTCACACCGCTGTGCGTCCTAAATGTATGTTTACTTTGAAATGAGAATTATTTATCGTTAGATTTTATTTCTTTATAATGGAGGAATTCCAGCAATCCAGCCGGAATATTTTCCCAGCCTGTCTTGAAGGGTGGCAGTCAAGACCCCTAAAGATCGGATTTCTTCTTCAACTTTATCGGTCAGTTGTCTAAGTCCAGCAGAATGGTCTCTCTGTGTGCATATAATATATATATATTTAAGCTTGTAATTAAAGAGAACTGTATCTTGTACATTTCGGTGCACAGAATGCCACTGCAGGCATCTGAGGCATAAAAGATCTTTACAAATTGTTGGTGTAGTAGTTACATTTAAAAATATGTGAATGATTATATAACAGAAGAGTCCAGTCTCAGCTGTGTTCCTGAACTCTTGCAATCCAAAGAGCACAGAGTATATAGTAAATTAATAAATAATTTATTAGCCTGTTTGGCTTATTATATATACTAAAGTGTGTATTGTCAAGAATTTAAAGTGAACTTAAAATTTTAGGCTGAATATAGGCAAATTTGAATTATCTGTTAAAGGACCACTATAGGCACCCAGACCACTTCAGCTCAATGAAGTGTTCTGGGTGCCAGGTTCCCTCTAGTTTTAACCCTGTAGCTGAAAACATAGTTTCAGAAAAACTGCTATGTTTACACTGCAGGGTTAATCCAGCCTCTTGTGGCTGTCTCACTGACAGCCACAAGAGGCGCTTCAGCTATTTACAAAGAGTAAATCACACTTATTTGACGCTGGATGTCCTCACGAACCTCCAGCTTCAAAACAGATCCCCATAGAAAAGCATTGAGTAATGCTTTCCTATGGGCGGGTTTGAATGCGCACGCGCCTCTGGCCGCGCATGCGCATTCGGCTCCACTCGGGAGCTGACATCAATGGAGGAGGAAAGGTCACCAGTGCTGAAGGAGCCCGGCGCTGGATTAAAGTAAGCAAATAAACAACTAGTTGACCATTTATTCGCTGCGGAACGGGGCCCTAGTCACGTTTAGGTGACGAAGGCTCACTAGCGTCAGGAATACATATTTTCTAACGCTATAGTGTTCCTTTAAGCTACTTTGAACGAAAATGTTAAATTCACATTAACTTCCTGACTATTCACACTAATGAATACCTTGTCGTTTAACTAAACAGACATATGAGGATGCAGGAATATCTCAAAATAAATTCCCAGAAGGCGATGAATGAGAACTGGAGTTTGAAACTATTATTATGATTTGAAACCTACAAACGGCTGCTCATCTTAACAGCGGGTAAGTTAGGCTGAGCAGCAGTTGTTCAGATAATAGAATCTGAGCCAATATGGCAGATAAAGTGAAAATTTGATGGCAGTTGTCCTTTAAAAAGACAGTCACAACGAACACAACATATAGTAATCTATTAAAGGAAAACTCAAAGTAACAAAACAACTAAAAAAGCCTGCGTAGTGGTTATGGTGCCGGGAGTAGCCTGACGCTGTCCCAGTGCAATTTGTCAAATTGCATCGAAAAACTTACAGGGACTCCTGGGTGCCCACACCACAATTGGTCTTTCCCTGCAGGAGAAGCCCAATGTTTTTTTTGCAGATAAACATGGTTGATACAAGACGCTCGCCTGACGCTCTCAGTCAATAAGCATGGCCTTAAGTCGTGTTGATTTAATTGATCTAACAGGATTCTCAAGCAGAAGCAGGGCATGAGGCTGTGGGACTCATAACTTGTCAAACCTTTGTAAAATTGTTTAACTACAGTGTGCTTGCAGTGGTTATGGTGCTTAAAGCGCTCTTTTAAAATCGGTGATTAAATTAATTTCTGCCTCTGTATTACAGTGTTGTTGTTTTTTTTCTATGTAAGGTATTTTGATTTTGGGAAATGTTATTTATTGTATAAATCTACTTCCGCCTATTTTTTTTTCTTCTACAAGCAGATGGAAACCTTTAGATATGGATAGTATAGATAAGTGTTAGTGCACGTGTACACCCCCAGCTTTGATGGAACTATGATCCCAATAAATTTGCTAGCTGAAAGGTTGCTCAATCCTCATGGGTCTTATAACATCTATGGTGGGAGGTACGTGTAGGTTAATGCTGCTTGAATTCTTACAATCAGACGATTGCTACTGAGAATCGGTTACTGTATCCTTCCTGATTCCAGTTTCAAATGGAAACCAGCTTTGTGCAATGAATAAAACAGTGACCCCGAAAATGATTTAGGTCATATCACATTTATTCTCTCTAGACAAGGAACGGAGGCTGAAAAAAAATCAGCGGCAACAGGCCAGGTCTAAAAACGCGTTTTAATTGTAGACAATGTACTGAATAAAAATTACAAACTCATCAAGGTTTGATTTGAATCTCAACATGAAATTTTAGATTACGATAAAATGTCCTCTGCCCTATACAACCTACAGTGTTTGTATTGATTCTACAAAAATTGGACATTTGGATGTTATAAAATTGAGTCAATTAAAAAAACAAAACAAGATTTATACACAATAAGGAGATAAAAACATCAAGATAAGTGCTGATATGTATAAAAAGTGTTTCTGAGTAATCATGTCACCACAGTTGGCAGCGTTAAACTAAAGTTACCTTTCAAACGTAACCTCTAATACTGAACAGGGGATGACAATCTCCAGAATCTGCATGCGTCTTCTAAAAAAATAATTCAAAACCAAAACATGTTCCTTCCATTGAATAAGATGATAGATATCGAAAATACTGTAAAAGTATAAAAAGTAGTATAACAACCCAAATTTTACCTTGGAACAAGATACCATAAAGGGACACAAAATTGCAAAAACAACTTTAGCTTAATGGAGCAGTTTTGGTGTATAGAACATGCACCTGCAGTCTCACTGCTCAATCCTCTGCCATTTAGGAGTTAAATCCCTTTGTTTATGAACCCTAGTCACACCTTCCTGAATGTGACTTACACAGCCTTCCATAAACACTTCCTGTAAAGAGTCATCTAATGTTCATCCTTCCTTTATTGCACTATTTGTTTAATTTAGTATTTCTATCCTGCCCTGTCAATTCCTTGCTAGACTTTGCAGAAGTTTTCAGTCTGTGATTAAAGTTCAATTAAAAGAGGAGATAAAAACTTCTAAATCATGTTAACATCTGATTGAAAATTAAATCATTTTTTAAATGCAGGCTGTATCAGTCACAGCCGGGGATATGTGGCTAGGGATGCATAAACAGAAACAAAAGTGATTTAACTCCTAAATGGCAGAGAATTGAGCAGTGAAACTTCAGAGGCATGATCTATAGACTAAAACTGCTTCATTAAGCTAAAGTTGTTTTGGTGACTATAGTGTCCCTTTAAAACAATGGGCAGGTTCAAACCAAAACATTTGTGTTAACGAATACATATATCAAATGTTTTTATGCAAGATTGTCCCACTAAATAAATAGTCTTTATTCATTATGCCTTTTTCGGTGTTTAACATATGCTGATTTATAAATAAAGCTTTTTCCACAATCTTTACAAAGGTGTCCTTTTCCGTGAGTCCTTGCATTTTTTGCATCTATAAGGCTTTTCGCCGGTGTGTTTCTTTTGATGGACAACAAGACTACATTTATGGCCGAAAGACACGCTGCATATGTTACATTGAAATGGTTTTTCGCCAGTGTGTGCTTGCATGTGTATAACAAACTGAGACTTATATTCATACTGTATCCCACATGTCGCAGGTGTAACGCTTTTGGTCATTGTGTGTCCTCTGATGTTTGAGAAATTTTGACGTAGAAATAAAACACGTTCTGCACTCTACACATTCCAGAGGCATCCCATTAGAATGTTCCTGCTGATGTTTATTAAGGCGATCTATAGTGTATGTGTGTGGGGGGCACTGTATGTGTGTGTGGGGCGGTGTGTGTATGGAGGCAGTGTGTGTATGGGGGCAGTGTACATGTGTGTGTGTGGCAATGTGTGTATGGGTGGCAGAGTGTGTATATGGGGGGGCAGTGTGTGTATGTGGAGCACTGTGAGTGTGGGGCAGTGTGTGGGGCACTGTATGTGTGTGTGGGGCAGTGTGTAAGGTGGGGTCTCGAGTGTGGGGCAATGTGTGTGGGGGCAATGTGTCTATGGGTGTGCAGTGTGTGTGTGAGAGGCGGTGTTTATGGGGCACTGTATGTATGGGGGGGAGCAGTGTTTGTGGGGCCATGTGTGTATGGGGGGCAGTGTGTGTATGGGGGGCAGTGTGTGTATGGGGAGACAGTGTTTGTGGGGCAGTGTATGTATGGGGGGGCAGTGTTTGTGGGGCAGTGTGTGTATGAGGAGGCAGTGTTTGTGGGGCAGTGTGTGTATGGGCGTCGGTGTTTGTGGATCAGTGTATGTATGGGGGGTAGTGTTTGTGGGGCAATGTGTGTATGGGGGGGGAGGAGGGTAGGGAGGCAGCTCTGCATTAGCCAGCAGGGGAGAATTGCCCTGTTGCCCCCCCCCTGGATCCGCAACTGGTTCTGGCCTTTTACAAAAACTTATAGTTGAAGCTTCACCTTTACTGCTGCTCAGTAAACTCTCATCTTTATCTTTGAGTGAGGCATTTTTTTCTAGTGAAGAAGCAGTCGAAGATGCGTGATTGTTTTTCTGATATGTTTTGGAGAGACTAGCTATTTCGATTTCAGAGTCCTCATCGGGAGTCCACAGAGATACTTTGGACTCGTTATCATCATACTTGGTACCATCGGAGGAGTGGAGTTCTTCCAAAGCATCCCAATCCACAGACTCAGCTGTTTAGGAAAGATTATACTGTCAGTATTAAAAACAAACAAACAAACAAAGAAAAAAACAGCGAGGATTAATAAGAAATTAAAACCTAACCATACGGTTACATAAAGGGATAAACACTTGTGGATTATTCAATTTCTAAAGTAACACTCTATCAGAAATCTTCTGTGAGCCAAACAGACCTATCTAAACACCTTTTTTTTTTTTTTTTTTTTACAAAATGAAAAACAAAAAAAACAACAAAAAAAACACTATCTCGGAGAGAGGTAATTGTTTATGGAAAGATTTATGTATTTGGGAGAGATTTGTCCATTTCAGGGGGATGTGCTGTATCTATTATAGAAGAATCTACCTACATATTTTTAAGTAAGATTTTGCTACATTTCTATATGCTTTCAACTGAAAATATTTCCAGTTATATTTATGTATATATGTTTATTTATAAAAAGCGTAACTTAAAAAAGATGGAAATACACTGCAACTTAAAGGGACACTGTAGACACCCAGACCACTACAGCTCATTGAAGTGGGCTGGGTTCATATTATCAGGTCCCTCAGTTTTTAATAAACTGCAATAATTACCTTTGTGGGTTAACTCCACCTCAAGTGGATGTCAAGCCACTAGAGGGACTTCCGGGTCGTTAGGTAACTTTCGGTCGCCTAACTGATGCTTAACGTCCTCACACTATGCATGAGAACATCCAGCGTTACCCGAAATCCCATTGGACAGGGCTTGATAAATTTGCTTTCAATCAAGGAGCCAGCTAAAAAAATTAGGAGCCAGTTTATTTCAACGTCAAAAATACAATTCTTAAAGGGACCCTGTAGTCACCAAAAACACTACAGCTTAATTTAGTGACTCTGGTGTCTATAACCTGTCCCTGTAGGATTTTCAGAGAAAAGGCAGTGTTTACCTTGCTGCCTAAAAATACCTATAGTGGCAGTCACTCAAACAGCCACTAAAGTGTCTCCTACATCATGTGCAGCTCCTACATTCAGCATAGAGGCGGCACTGAACGTTCCCCCTAGGGATGCATTGCTTTAATGCTTCACTATGAGGAGATGTTGATTGGTAATTGATCATCTCAGTTATGGAGGCGGGCAAGCTGCTGCGAGACTGGCATAGCGTTGGAAAACAGGTGAGTAAAAACACCATTCCCATGCGATCGGAGGACACACACTGACACGTACACTGACAGACAGACTGACACACACACATCCTCACAAGATATGTATTATTTGATACACACACAAAGAATCATAGATGCATGCAGATAGACACACACACAAACATGTCCTCTCACACACTCATAAGATATGTATTATTTGATACACACAAAGAATCATAGATGCACACAGACAAACACACACACACGTCTTCACACACTCACAAGATATTTATTATTTGATACACACACAAAGAATTATAGAGGCACAAAAATACACACACGCAGACAGACAGACACACACACACTGACAGACACACACATCCTCACACACTCACAAGATATTTATTTTTTGATACACACATAAAGAATCATAGATACACACAGACACACACGCAGACAGACACACACACACACATCCTCTCACACACTCACAAGATATTTATTTTTTGATACACAAACAATCAGATGCAAACAGACACACACGCAGACACACACGTGTCCTCTCACACACTCACAAGATATTTATTTTTTGATACACACACAGAGAATCATAGATGCATACAGACAAATACACACACGCAGACAGACACACACTGACAGACACACACACACACACATCCTCTCACACACTCACAAGATATTTATTTTTTGATACACACACAAAGAATCATAGATGCACACAGACAAATACACACACATACACACAGACTTACATGCAGGAGAGATTTACACACACACACAAAAAAGTGAATACATATTTTTAGCCACTCTCCTGTTTCCTACCTTTTGGGCGCAGGAGAGTGGCTTCCCCGGGGGCCAGTGGGACTGGGCACAGCAGCAGACATTAGATTGGTTGGCCGGGCATTGTGTCTGTGAAATGGGGGGAGGGCAGTGAACAGAGACGATTTTACCAAGTGTCCTGCTAGCTTGCTAGTTCTCTGTGCGGCCGCAGCGCTGGGAGATTACTGATCACTTCCTCCTGGTACACCTGCCCACAGAAACCTACGCGGGGATTGAAATAGGAGTAGGAGGAGTGAACGAGCTGATCAATCTCAGGCGCCTGGGCAAAATTCTTTGTCGCCATGGCGACCTGGCGCCGCGGATTTGTCGAGCCCTGCCATAGGAAAGCATTGTATAATGGTTTTCTATACGGAAAGTTCTAATACGTGTGCGGCGATAGCTGCGCATGTGCATTTGGTCTTCCTGGGAGGAGTGGAGTTTGAGCCCAAGTCAGCGCCAAGGGACATCAGCGCTGGACTCGGGTAAGCGACAGAAGGGGCTTTTAACCCTTTCTGCACCACAGTGTGTGTGTGGGGGCACTGTATGTGTGTGGGGGGCGGTGTGTGTATGGAGGGCAGTGTGTGTATGTGGGCAGTGTACATGTGTGTGTGTGGCAATGTGTGTATGGGTGGCAGAGTGTGTATATGGGGGGGCAGTGTGTGTATGGGGAGCACTGTGAGTGTGGGGCAGTGTGTGTATGGGGGCACTGTATGTGTGTGTGGGGCACTGTATGTGTGTGTGGGGCAGTGTGTAAGGGGGGGTCTCGTGTGTGGGGCAATGTGTGTGGGGGCAATGTGTCTATGGGTGTGCAGTGTGTGTGTGAGAGGCGGTGTTTATGGGGCACTGTATGTATGGGGGCAGTGTTTGTGGGGCCATGTGTGTATGGGGGCAGTGTGTGTGTATTGGGGGCAGTGTGTGTATGGGAAGGCAGTGTTTGTGGGGCACTGTATGTATGGGGGGCAGTGTTTGTGGGGCAGTGTGTGTATGAGGAGGCAGTGTTTGTGGGGCAGTGTGTGTATGGGGGTCGGTGTTTGTGGATCAGTGTATGTATGGGGGGCAGTGTTTGTGGGGCAATGTGTGTATGGGGGGGAGGGGGTAGGGAGGTAGCTCTGCAATAGCCGGCAGGGGAGAATTGCCCTGTTGCCCCCCCCCCTGGATCCGCAACTGGTTCTGGCCTTTTACAAAAACTTATAGTTGAAGCTTCACCTTTACTGCTGCTCAGTAAACTCTCATCTTTATCTTTGAGTGAGGCATTTTTTTCTAGTGAAGAAGCAGTCGAAGATGCATGATTTTTTTTCTGATATGTTTTGGAGAGACTAGCTATTTCGATTTCAGAGTCCTCATCGGGAGTCCACAGAGATACTTTGGACTCGTTATCATCATACTTGGTACCATCGGAGGAGTGGAGTTCTTCCAAAGCATCCCAATCCACAGACTCAGCTGTTTAGGAAAGATTATACTGTCAGTATTAAAAACAAACAAACAAACAAAAAAACTGTGAGGATTAATAAGAAATTAAAACCTAACCATACGGTTACATAAAGGGATAAACACTTGTGGATTATTCAATTTCTAAGGTAACACTCTATCAGAAATCTTCTGTGAGCCAAACAGACCTATCTAAACATCTCTTTTTTTTTATTTTATTTTTTTTTTACAAAACGAAAAAACAAAAAACAAAAAAAAAACACTATCTCGGAGAGAGGTAACTGTTTATGGAAAGATTTAAGTATTTGGGAGAGATTTGTCCATTTCAGGGGGTTGTGCTGTATCTATTATAGAAGAAACTACCTACATATTTTTAAGTAAGATTTTGCTACATTTCTGTATGCTTTCAACTGAAAATATTTCCGGTTATATTTATGTATATATGTTTATTTATAAAAAGCGTAACTTAAAAAAGATGGAAATACACTGCAACTTAAAGGGACACTGTAGACCCCCAGACCACTACAGCTCATTGAAGTGGGCTGGGTTCATATTATCAGGTCCCTTAGTTTTTAATAAACTGCAATAATTACCTTTGTGGGTTAACTCCACCTCAAGTGGATGTCAAGCCACTAGAGGGACTTCCGGGTCGTTAGGTAACTTTCGGTCGCCTAACTGATGCTAAACGTCCTCACACTATGCATGAGGACATCCAGCGTTACCCAAAATCCCATTGGACAGGGCTTGACAAATTTGCTTTCAATCAAGGAGCCAGCTAAAAAAATTAGGAGCCAGTTTATTTCAACGTCAAAAATACAATTCTTAAAGGGACCCTGTAGTCACCAGAAACACTACAGCTTAATTTAGTGACTCTGGTGTCTATAACCTATCCCTGTAGGATTTTCAGAGAAAAGGCAATGTTTACCTTGCTGCCTAATAATACCTCTAGTGGAAGTCACTCAAACAGCCACTAAAGTGTCTCCTACATCATGTGCAGCACCTACATTCAGCATAGAGGCGGCACTGAACATTCCCCCTAGGGATGCATTGCTTTAATGCTTCACTATGAGGAGATGTTGATTGGTAATTGATCATCTCAGTTATGGAGGCAGGCAAGCTGCTGCGAGACTGGCACAGCGTTGGAAAACAGGTGAGTAAAAACACCATTCCCATGCGATCGGAGGACACACACTGACACATACACTGACACACACACATCCTCACACAAACTCACAAGATATGTATTATTTGATACACACACAAAGAATCATAGATGCATGCAGATAGACACACACACAAACGTCCTCTCACACACTCATAAGATATGTATTATTTGATACACACAAAGAATCATAGATGCACACAGACAAACACACACACACGTCTTCACACACTCACAAGATATTTATTTTTTGATACACAAACAAACAATCATAGATGCAAACAGACACACACGCAGACACACACGTGTCCTCTCACACACTCACAAGATATTTATTTTTTGATACACACATAAAGAATCATAGATGCACACAGACACACACGCAGACAGACACACACACACATCCTCTCACACACTCACAAGATATTTATTTTTTGATACACAAACAATCATAGATGCAAACAGACACACACGCAGACACACACGTGTCCTCTCACACACTCACAAGATATTTATTATTTGATACACACACAGAGAATCATAGATGCACACAGACAAATACACACACATACACACAGACTTACATGCAGGAGAGATTTACACACACACACAAAAAAGTGAATACATATTTTTAGCCACTCTCCTGTTTCCTACCTTTTGGGCGCAGGAGAGTGGCTTCCCCGGGGTCGAGTGGGACTGGGCACAGCAGCAGACATTAGATTGGTTGGCCGGGCATTGTGTCTGTGAAATGGGGGGAGGGCAGTGAACAGAGACGATTTTACCAAGCGTCCTGCTAGCTTGCTAGTTCTCTGTGCGGCCGCAGCGCTGGGAGATTACAGATCACTTCCTCCCGGTACACCTGCGCACAGAAACCTACGCGGGGATTGAAATAGGAGTAGGAGGAGTGAACGAGCTGGTCAATCCCAGGCGCCTGGGCAAAATTCTTTGTCGCCATGGCGACCTGGCGCCTGGGATTTGTCGAGCCCTGCCATAGGAAAGCATTGTATAATGGTTTTCTATAGGGAAAGTTCTTATGCGTGTGCGGCGATAGCTGCTCATGCGCATTTGGTCTTCCTGGGAGGAGTGGAGGTTGAGCCCAAGTCAGCGCCAAGGAACATCAGTGCTGGACTCGGGTAAGCGACAGAAGGGGCTTTTAACCCTTTCTGCACCACAGGGGAGAGGCGTTGACATAGTGGGGCACTATAGGGAGCTATAGTGCCTGTAAAACAACTTTGTTTCCTGGCACTATAGTTTCCCTTTAAGATAAGTCTTGCTTACAATTAATATAATAAACTGCAGTAGAAAACCAAACAGTATAAAATAAGACATGTGTTTTTTTGCTAGTTTCTAAAGTAAATTCTAAAAATTAATCTTTTCACGCAAAAATTGTTTTGTTTTCCAATAATTTATTTTCCTTGTGAAAATGGTAATTAATCAATTTCTTCTAAATGGTGCAGTTTGGGGGGGACGGGGGAGAGGAGGGAGGGAGGTTACCTGTGCTGCAGTTATCGCGTTTTTCACATTGACTGATTGGAGGGGGAGGGATGGTGACCATGTCACTGTAAGCGTCTTTGTGTTGCTGTATGTACTGCCACTCTTCCATTGTAAAGAAAACGGCAACATCCTCATGCTTCACGGGTACCTGTAACACATGGAACTATGGTCAAAATCAACTCACATCCTGTAAGATTGCTCTAGTCTACATACAAACAATCAGGAAGGTCTGGATTAGGTTACTGTGAGATAAAGGGAAAAGGGACAGACAGTGCTTGCCTTAATATATAGCAGCAGTGCTTACCTCTCCAGTTAGCTCGTAAATGCTCCTATGGATAGAATTTTTCTTTACAACGATCCATTCCTGTAAAATTTGAAGAAATTATTATTACTTGTCAAAAATGTTGGTCTCTGCACTAAATCAAAGAAATATGATGCACCGTGCAGAAATGTATAACCGTCTTAGGAGAAATGTACAAGAGATCAGCACACAGCTTAAGTGAAAAGGCTAAAATAATTAAAAAAGAAGTAGTCTATACAGGGAGCAGGCAAAATGCTAGCAAATACATAGGTCAAACCGTTCGTGTAACTGTAATGAGCCTGTAAGTCTGTGCATGCACCCCAAAATGTCATATGACTAAGGGATTTTGGGATCATGAGATATGTGTCAAAGTGGGCACATCTGATGTGTCAGTAAAGGTGTTTACCTTTTTCTGATCTCCATAATGCTGTAACTTTGACAGGAATTGTGATAACAATGTATTTATGTGTTCTACTCTTTACATTTTCAATATAATCCTTTTACCAACTCTTTAGGACTGGAACTGGCCATGTCTAGTCTGATTGGTCCCATCTACGGTAGATCTCACCTCTCCAGTAAGTTGGGCAAGGATTTCCAGAGTTTGGTTCAAAATCCGTGATGTCTTCGTCTTTTTGGCTTTTTCCATCACCACCACATTAGTCAGATACTTAAAAACCGAGAGCTGTGAGAACAGACAACAGAGATGATCTATTTATTTTAGGTGATGTTACAGGTTGAACATTATGTGTGTCTGTTAAACAATGACTTGTCTAATGTATCACATACTACCAAGCAATCCAATGGTGTATTGTTAACGGTGTGTTGTGTGTTCTAGTAACTATTTAGATTCAGCCCCTCCTCCCTTCCAATGATTTTGTTTTTAAAATGTACTTAGTTTCCTTTCTGGCAGTCGCTCCACCACCCTGATGAGATTACTAATCCTGATGATCTCAGACAATACAATGCTTCCTCAGAGGGAGGTATCTTGAGGCTAGTGCGTATCCGTGACAAACCACAGTGCTGAGCCAGTCACCATCTCTTCTTAGAGATGCAGTGAATCAATTGGTGGAGAAGCTCAATGTCGGTCCTGCAATCTTTGCAGGACCAAACAAAGGAAGTCCCTGTTGTGGCTGCCAGAGTGACTGCCACTAGAGGTGACATTTGGCAGTAATGTATGCCGGTTCTCATCACACTGCTTAGTCCACAGGGACAGGCTCTAATCCACTACATTAAGCTGTAGTGGTTCTGGTGCCCACAGTGTCCCTTTAACTCCTTGAAGTGGGAATTGTTTAGCAGCGAAAAGAGAACTTCAGTTATAAAATCTCTGCACCTCTGCTATTTTTGGCTAATACTGCAACTGATATATAAATGACCAATTGGTGAAAGTTTGTCTCTTGGGTTTCACCTTGGTCTGCTGGTGCCCCTGCCATGCTGTACTGATGATACATTACATTCCGGAAATTGTAAGCTCTATGGAAGGCATTCCACATAGGATATCAAATAAACAAAGCTTTATTCAGACTTAGAAACAAATGTATATCAACCCCTTATGGAAGGAGACATTGTCCAACATTTGGTAGTCAATGCCAACCCTACCCTTACACTAACTTTAACCGCACACCCTTACACTAACTTTAACCGCACACCTATCCTAAACTTAACCCCTCACTATCCATAACCCTAAACTAGCAATAATCCTTATCCTACACTAACACTACCAGTAGGGATTCCCTCTGCTGACATCAGCTCACACAGTACTGGGAGATTGCAGCTTAAGGGGTGGATCTAGCTCTGATCCTGCAGCTCCAGCACACGATCCCCAATAATCACACAGTGATCAGTTTTGGGAATCAGGCACAGCCCACCACTGGTCCATGCCAACAAAGGCACGAATGGGGGACCCTATTGATTTTTTTAGACCCCAGGAATGTCCCTCTGTATGGGGAGTCACTGCTGCTGAACAGAGGGTACCCCAAAGTGTATAATGATACTTGGGTCCTATGAGTGCCCCATGAGCAGGGTTAAATCCAAAACTACAGGACCTTTTATACTGGCCTAACGGTGTTAACGCCCAATATTTTTAGGATGGTTATGAAACACCCTATCATCATCGACAGGTTAACAACCACATTGACACTTTATATAAAAAGACAGAAAACCACACAAACCCTTGAGTGTGAGCTGCATAGAATCCACATAATGATAGGAGCATATTCTAAAAGGGGGAAACAGAAGAAGTTTGTACTTGTGCTTTATAACGGCCTCCACTGAAACACAGGTCGTACCTAATGCACAGTGTGTAAGCTCCTCTATTAAAAGTACACTATAGTCTGTATAGATCATGCCCCTGCAGTCTCACTGCTCGATTCTCTGCCATTTAGGCAGCCTTAGTCCCTCCTCCCTGCATGTGACTTACACAGCCTTCCTAAACACTTCCTGTAAAGAGTCAAATCCTTCACTTAAAATTCTATTTAATTTAGAATTTCTTATCTCATGCTCTGTCAATAGCTTGCTAGACCGTGCAGCAGCGACCTGTATATTATTAAAGTTCAATATGCAGAGCAAGAGAAAAAAACTTTTAAAAAAAAGTTACATCTGATTGAAAATGAAACCATTTTATTTCCATGCAGGCTGTTTCAGTCACAACCAGGGGAGGTGTGGCCAGGGCTGCATATACAAAAACAAAAGTAATTAAACTCTTAAATGGCAAATTTAGCGGTTAAACTTCAGGGGTATGATCTAGGCACTAAAACTGCTTCATTAAGCTAAAGTTGCTTTGATGACTATAGTGTCCATTTAAAGGACACAGTGTACCTACTTTGAAATGTGTACGTTCCTCCATTGAAAGCGTCCCTAATGGTCACTTTTGGGTGGGTTTTTAAATTTCCACATTAATATGAAGCTTTTAAGGAAATACAATAAGTATGAAATCTAATGAACACAAACTCTCATACCAGATCATCTTCTGAATATTCCTCATCAAACCTGTCAATTTTGGCTTTTGCTATTAAATAATGTAACAAACTGGCAGGGTAGGAAATTTTCATTGCCGAATTCTCATAGTAATGGTCGTGACTAATCTTCCACGGTTCCCCATCCACATTTTGCTCATATTCTGGCCATTGTATTGCTCTATCCATTTTTCCTTCATAAATTAAAGAAAACGTAGATGTGCTGGCATTTTTTTTCTCAGAAGGAGGAGGATCTGAGCGTTTAGTTGCATTTTTCCTACTCATATCTGGATCTGAAGTAGGAACCAAATTACCAACAGCCTGACGCAGATCTTTACGTGGACAAACATCATTTGTTTGAATTAAAAGCAGGGCAGTTGTAGGCTGGATGATGGATAACTCAGAAACATTGACATTCTGGTGCCCAAAAGGTTGGATTGTCCACGTATTAAATGGATGATTTCCGTATATTGGAGGAATGGCACCCTGTAATCGAACAGACACATTTCTATTTGGGTAAATTGTTGGGATAGCGTTCGCCATAAGCTGTTTTTGAGATCCAACAATATGGTAGCAGTTAGGAGCGAAATGCGCAGAGCAGATGCGAAACGCACCTATCGTTCCCTCCAAGACTCCCTTTGCAAACAAGTCGAAGTCTCCAAAATCCTGACCAGTTTGTATGAGCCATTGCTTGATTAAACAGAGATTTTTAGGAAAAACATGAAGGACGACTCCAGGAACACTGTTTTTCCGTCCAGAGTAATTTGGGCAACCATTCACGATGCAGCTGGGCATTTTCTAACACCTAAAATACATAACTGTTATCTGTGAGTGCAAAAAATATATAATTTACTAGTTTTTGTTTCTGAAATGAAATTTTAACCATGCAAACCATTACTTTTAATGAAAAATATCTGATAAAACAAACTTGGTGTCAGTTTTTCCCCAGTCAAAACAAGATTTTTGGCAAAAGTCCATTCTTTAAAAGGGACCAGGACTAAACTCTGGCAAGACACATGTAGATAATGAATACAATCCATATTTTAAAGAGTAATAGAATAAACCAGCAGAGGCATTTATTGATAGTACACATGATTGAGAATAGTTTTAATCTCTGTTATATACTAATAGTATTTATAAAAACACCACTCTGTGAATTCTCTACACACACATAATACCATGTGTATAAAACAGAGTAAAATTAGTTTATATACATTTTTATTTTATAATTACTGGGTTCTGCAAAGTTTTAAGCCCTCTGCATCCATGCAATGCTGCCCTGTATGGGTGATTTCTATACTAGCTCTTTGTTTATAGGCATGCTAGCTGTGTCTGTGGGCTGTAACAATGTATTCACTGGCAGGTGCTCTTTGCACAGAGAATCACATGACCCCCTGCCTTGCTGTCCCCAAGTAATGAATACATACCTTACTGTAGCAGCTAAATGTATCACCCAGCCGGATGTTGCTGCTCTGTGTAACAAGCTGGGCTCTGATTGGGTGGGATTCTGATTTCATTGCGATGGGATGCCGGGAGTTGTAGTTCTAGCTTGGATCCCCTGGAATCTCCTGTGTGTAGTACTTTGAAAACCTCACTGTTATTTCAGCTGCTTACCTTTAATGGGAAGGGGGTCAGTGAACCCCCAATTATACCTACTGGTGAAATTGTGTGATGTGTTTTATAGAACAGTCATTATACACAACATCCTTAGTGTGCAAAACATGGTTTATACTATAGGGGGACTGTGTGGCTAACACTATAAACTTTATAAAACTTTATATAAACTTTATAGTGTTAGCCACACAATCCTCTTCTATAAAGTAGGGTGACCAGATGTATACTTTAATTAAAGGGACACTCCACTGCCCAAATAAAAAAATATATATTGCACTATTTAGTAGATATAAAAAATGGGTCGCAAGAGTATTCTGAGAACGGACAGCAGCTAAAATAGCCTGCCCTTCGGTGGGTCCCCGCTCAGAACTCATGCTGGTTTTAGCTCAACTTGTGCCATTACAGAGAGAACATATCTGAAGCACATCAGACTGGTCCCACCCATACGGGCAGTCCAGACCCGAAATGCCAGCAAGTTCTCTCTGCACGAGAGATACAGCAACCCCAGACGATCGTTTCAGCCTTGTTAGGCATCATCAGTGAGGTCTCTTGCGACCCATTTTTGACTCTCTACAAGTTTAAAGGGATAATCCAGACGTGGACCCCTTGCTCACGGTGCCTAGGGAGATATCAGCTATGCCTCACTGATGATTCCTAACAAGGCTGAAACGATCGTCTGGGGTTGCTGTATCTCTCGTGCAAAGAGAACTTGCTGGCATTTCGGATCTGGACTGCCCGTATGGGTGGGACCAGTCTGATATGCTTCAGATATGTTCTCTCTGTAATGGCACAAGATGAGCAAAAATCAGCTTGAGAACTGAGCGGGGACTGACCGAAAGGCAGGCTATTTCAGCTGCTGCCCGTCCTCAGTATTCTCTTGCGACCCATTTTTGACTCTCTATTTAGTAGATATATCCCAAATAAAAACATATGCATTTATTTATGCATTTTTCTCATTGGGAGGTTATATCTAAAAACAGATTTATTGTCTGCAGTTACTAAAAAAGCCCTCCCCTTTTAACCCCGCCCCAGACTTTATGTGGCTGTCCAATCACAGACTTCCAAATGCAGCTCAATGAGAAGTGCTCTGGGCAATTTCTGCCTCTTGATTTTATCTCTATTAAGCTTAATCAAACCAGGAAGTAACAGGACAGGTGGTTTGCTTAACAGCTGGGGGGAGGGGGCGCAGCCAGGTTCGTTTACAAAAATGCCAATTTCTATTGAACTCTGCACTTGCACTTTTAGTAAAATGTAAAAAAATAGGACACACTCTTCGCAAGTAAAGCATGTCAGCAAGCTAAAGTACTTTTGGGGTCAGGAGTGTCCCTTTAATGATTGCATTGTGAGGCTTAAGTATGTATTTGCGACAATGTGATAACCCCAATACAAAGTGATTTATTTTTTATTTTTAAGATGTCACATACTGACTGTACATTGTGGGTCATGTAAAATGGTGGTTATATATAAATTGTAGTTCTGGGGCAATGTTCTAAAAGTGGAGTAGTTGACATGGAAACCAATGGAATGTCCTCACTGTTTGCTCTGCTTTTATCTCTGTCACTCCTCCTTTAATGCAATATGTGTCCTATCTGTGCCAGTGCTTAAGGGGACACGACAGTCACTAACACCACTTCATCTCAATGAATGGTCTCTTCACGGCTGGCCTCCTTCCTTGGCTGAGATCATCAAGATCGATAATCTCACCCAATCCAATGCTTTGCCATAGGAAAGTATTGGGAGGCTTGTGCACATTTGTCAAATCAGACTGAATTTACTCCACTATTTCACAGAAGCGCCATTAGTGGTTGTCATATTAACAGCCACTAGAGGCAGCTTAACCCTGCAAAAAAAATAATAATTGCCGTTCCTTCAGAACTATAAAATAGTTTCACAGTGAAATGAGGAGATGGCCTTCAAAACTCATAGCACCAGAATTACTGCAATGAGCTGTAGTCATACTTAGAGTGACCTTTAAATTTGTATAGCACATCACATATAATGGGAAGACACTAATTCCTATTTGAGTATGCGTTTCCAGTTATAGAAGCAATCCCTGTGTGCAATCAGTAGGTATTGGGTATTTACTTGTGTTTAGGGGGCCCGTTCCCCATTTTTTGGCTTGATATTTTAAGTACAGTGGGACATCGGTTTACGAATTTAATACGTTCTCCGGGACGTTTCTTATTGCGAAAAATTTGTAAACCGAAAAGCGGTTTCCCATAGGAATGCATTGAAAACCAATTAATCCATTCTGGAGCTCAGAAAAAAAGTCAAAATGAGCTGGCATGGAAACCAACTCACAATGCAGAACACACAATAAAAGGCATGCAAACGACAAAGCTCAGCTCCCTACCTTTCCACAGCTTGAGAAATGCACCAAAAAGTCCCAAAACAACTGCAAACAATTTCCAGAATGGCTCCAAAACTAGATGCAAAATCCGCTCCAACACCTCCACACTCAATGCCACGTGCTACCCACAGGCTCCAGCATGCAGGGGGCGGCTCTATAAACCTCCCAGGTGCAATGCATCCTGGGGAAACTTGTTTTGTATTGCACAAAAAGTTTGTAAACCGAGGCATTATTTTAAATGGATTTTCATTTGTAAACCGAAAGTTATGTTAACCGAGGCGTTTGTAAACTGAGGTCCCACTGTACTTTATTTAAAATCTGGGAAATCCTTTTCAGCAGTTTTTTGTTTCTGGTTCTATTTCAGAATGTGTTTACTTTGAAGGTCAATGTAAGGTTTCTTTACATTCATGCCGCCCTGTAGTTGGTGCTGGAAAAATCAATATTTCACAATTTGTATAAACGTTTTATTTGTGCTCGGAATTTATCTAATACGTAATGGAATGTAGAAGGGAAAGCAAAGTTGGTTGAGGTGTGCCGAAACCAACGTACGAGTAGGCCTGTAAAAAGAGGGCCCACAAAGGTGGGTGTTAACCCCTTAGGGACACAGCTTCAGAAGCTTGTCTTACGCTTAGTGACACAAGCAATTTTTGCATTTTCTTGCTGTATTCGTTCAACTGCAATTTGCATCTCTCTTGTTTATTGCACCAACACATATTATATACTGTTTTTTAAAGGACAGAAAGGGCTTTAATTTGATGTAACATATATATATATATATATATATATATATATATATATATATATATATATATATATATATATGCTTATTTATAATTAAAAGAATCCAGAAAAATGAAAAAAAGAAAAGAAAAATTTTGTGTTTTTTGTACAGTTTTTGCAATAATAATGTGTGCCTAATTAGTGCAGGTTAAAGAAAGTAATTAAAAATAAATTCATTTAGTTGTTCTGATTTACAGAATATATAATTTGTCTGAGATTTTAAGTTTTTTTTGGTAGTTACAGGTCACAAAGCACAAGGAGTAAAATAAACTTTTAATGTGGAGCGATTTTAGAATTTGGTATGTTTGTCTTGTAAGCTTAATAGCCATAAAAGAAAACAAAATTGCCACACAAAAGTATAGTGTAGACATCACAGGCTATTGTCCTAAGGTTGTTTTGACACTTTCTACGTAGCCATTTCAGTGCCAATCTCTGCTAAATATTGGAGTACAACGATACCCCCATTGTATGTCTTTGGCACTATTTCGTGAAGCTATAGTGCCATATAGGAGACCTGTCCGTTTCAACATTTACAGTAGAATTTTGAGAGATGGATTTAATGGGCCTATGCTTCAATTTGGGGTATTATAGCAGTTTGACTGTTCAAAAAAACCCCACAAAGGCCTACCATTTGTAAAAGTAGACACTCCAGGGTATCTCATATGGTGCATATTGTGCCTTAACATGCCCCCATTTTTTCACCAATATATGCCAAAGTATGTGGTAAAAAATAATTTGGGGCGTTTTTTACATACGGATTACATTTTTGCAGGGCATTTTGTACATTTCATATGTGCCACTAAGTTCAAACCCCCCAAATTATGCTCAGCTAAGTCTTCTGAGTAAAACAATATGCCCAATGTATGACCTAGACACTATTTTGTGAAGTTACAGTGCTGTAAAAGATACGTGACAAGTTAAGGTTTTTAAGTGTGAATTTTCATGGAGGGTTTTGATGCGTCCGTGTTCCACTTTGGAGCACTTGAGCAGGCTACATTTAACAAATACCCCATAAAGCCATACCATTTCTTAGAGAACACATCCCAGGGTACTTCAAAAGGCATATTTTGAACCTTAGCGTGGGATAATTTTTCCGCTAGCTTGTACCAAGTGTAGTGGTAATAAGCGTTTTTCTGCCTTTTTGACACACACAGTGAGTTTGCACAGTATATTTTGCAAACCTTATGTGTACTACGACTGTATACTACTTCATATGTTGCTCAGCTATGTCGGCTGAGTACAGTAATACCCCCGTATGTACCTTTGCCAGGTATATGTGGACATTGAAGGGGCACATTTGAGACACAGCCATTCCAGTTTTTCTCAAATTTTGAATTTTTACACTGTGTCCATGTCCCATTTTAGAGTATTTTACAAGGCTATATAATCCAATTACACCATAAAGGCATACCATTTCTTAAAGAAGACATCCCAGGGTAATTCAAAAGGCATATTTTGAACCTTAGCGTGGGATCATTTTTCCGCTAGCTTGTACCAAGTGTAGTGGTTATGAGCATTTTTTAATGTATTTTTTTACTTTGTAAAACTTTTTTTACTGTGTAAAACCCGTTTTTAAACTTTTTTTTTTTTACTTATTAAATGTTTTACAATTTAACTTTTTTTACACTTTTACATTTTTTTCTAAACTTTTCTTTTACCGTTAACCCCTAACTAGCAGTAAGCAGCACTAACAGTAAATTAACCCCTTTCCCAAAACTCCCACCTACT